GGTAATAATTTTAGAAAAGAAGTACTTTAGCACATAATCCACTTAGTTAGCGATGCACATTAGCAGGCGTGTACGCAGGAATTTGGTCTGGATGGGGGGATAATAAAATTTTTTAAGAAATATTATAAAATATTAAGCATAAATTTATTAGGACTAATAACTTTTATAATACACAATTTTAAATTATGTGAATTATAAAAAAATTATATATATAAACCGACATTGAAAAACTATAAAATAAATGTAAATTATAAAATAAAAATATAACCACCATATGAATTAGTGTCTGTATCGAGCCTAATTTTTCAAGCCCGGCCCGGCCCTAAATTTTTTTAAAAAACTTTAACGGCCCGGCCCGAACCCGAAATTTTTTTAAAAAGTTTAGCCGGCCCGGCCTGAACCGGAATTTTTTTTTAAAAAAATTTACCGACCCGGCCCGGTTCGAATTTATTTAAATATAGAAATTCATTTTTATAATTACTTAAAATAAAAGGTCGTTTAGTTTCAATAAATAAAATCAAATATTTTTATTTTACATAAAAAAATCAATATAAAATTGATAAATTTAGATATATTTAAAAAAAATTCCAAGGTCCGACCCGACCTGGCTCGAATTTTTTTTAAAATATTAGGCCCGGCCCAGCCCGAACCCGATTATTTTACATAGAATTAGGCCCGAGCCCGGCCCGAAGCCCGTTCGGGCCGGGCCGGGCCTAACTTTGCAGATCTCTAAATGAATCACTTAAATGACCCAAAATTGAAATTTGAATATTTTTAGCATTAAAAATTTATGTATAAAGTATAAAAAATTTTAATGTTAGAAATATCACAAAATGTTTCTTAGGAATAATTGTATTTTGTATATTTTGAGCTAATTTTTCAATTATCTCATCCTTGCTTGGCATTAAATGCCTATGAATATTCAAAATATCCAAACCATTTAATGAATTTTCAGAAGTTGTACTTCATTTCATAAGTATGTTTTCAGAGACTTGAGGCCCGGCCCCAGGCCGGACCGTATTTTAATTTTTTTTAAAATACACTCGGGCCGGGCCTCAATTTTTTTTTTAAAAAACACCCGGGCTGGGTCTGAAATTTTTTTAAAAAAATATCCTGGCAGGGCTATATATTTTAAAACCAAATATTTGAAATCGCATTATTAGCTATAAAAATCAAAAGTAAATCCGGGTCGTGCCCTGCAAATGGTACCTCTGCAGGGCTCTGTTATTCTTCTTAAAAAAGAGAGTGTTTTCTCATTATTTTACTAATGGGAAGAGTTGCTAATATATATATAACCATTTTAATACATTAGGAATATAATCTAAAATGTGTTTGAAATAATGCAAAGCATCCATAGCATATTTGGGGACTGTATCAACCATAGTTATTCAGCTAATAAGGCATCATAAGATACTTTAACATCTACATGATAAAAAAAATTTTTTTTTCTATCACCATCTTAAAAAGGTTTGGAAGACTTTTGTGGAAGTAATATCTGCAGATTGGTAAGTGCTGCATAATGAATTAAAAACCATTCATATATTTGGGTTAAAAATGTATCTAAGAGAGGTGACCTTTGTTCTATAATACTCTTATACCGATCCTTTATTAATGTTTTGACGATGAGCTTGCTTGCTGCAAGTCGAGGGGAGGGGGCAAATATTAAACACGTATAGCTCTGCTTTTGACTCAACAATAACATAAAATATGAATCAACATTAGCTCTAATTTCCCTGAGTTTTAATAAAATGCTCTGCGCTATTCTCATCTTCTTAATCAAGTAAATGTCATGTTTTTGAAAAGTATTACATAAAATAGTTTTATAATTAAATAATACATTCTAATGAGAAAAAAAATTTGGAATAAGTATTGAATCCAATAATTTTCTTGCTTCTGAGGAAATATTTCTTTCAAGCCATTGTGATATTTCAGTAATAGCAATAATAATCGGCTCTTCTAACTCCATAAAAGCTGTTACTGTTTGAAGGCGGAGACTAGATCTCGTTGGACAAGCTTGCAATTTCTTTCTCCCTGTTAGACATAAGTTTCAGGGAGAATTATTATTTGACTAGAAATTTAGATAAATATTACGCCATTAAAATTTGAATAATATGTAAATATTACGACATTAAAATTTGAAAATAATAGGTAAATATTACGCCAAGGAAAATTTGAAAAAATTAATTGATAAAATAAAGTAGATGAATGTGAAAAATAAATGTAATTAAATATATATATATATGAGATAGGAATAAATATTAACAAATATATAAATGAATATTAACAATAATATTTTTGAAAAATATAATCCGTCATCTGCATTTTTAGGTTTTGGGGCGTATGCGCCTGCACATTAGTCATATAAACGGAAAATGATGACTCGTTTGTTTTTGAATCTTACCTACATTAATATTAGAAAGACAGAAAATCTTTAACCTTTACGTAAATTGACAAGATTTGAGCGACAATATAAACAGATAATCTAAATAAAATGATTGACATTGTGATAAGTAAAATTATTTCGATAGCGGGGTCAACTTATTTCAATATTCCATATGGCTTTAATCCTATTTTCAATCTTTTACAATTTTCAAGATACGCTCGCTCAGTTGATCAAAATACAATTAATTCTGAAGTTATAACTATTTCTCCTATTTATTTAACTGAACAACACCCTACTACATCGAAAATTTGGCCTCCACAAGTTAGCATAACTAGGGCCCAACATAGTTCATCTCTAGTCCAAACGTTTATTGATATTGAAAGATCAACACCCCACTACTTCGAAAATTTGGCCCCCACAAACTAGTTTAAGTAATGTTCAACAAAGATAATCAATGGCGCAAACCATTAACGATACCTCGAATAGTCAGTTTCCACAAATAAGCCCCAAAAATTTTCAACAAAGTTCATTTACGTTTCAATCCCCCTCAAATGATGCAAGGATTCTTTAGTCAACTAAAGCTGAACTAGTTGGAATAATTAAGAAACTGAAGAATCATAAAGCTTGTGGTCAAGATTTATTATATAGTGAATACCTGAAGACTGACTCTAGACTATGTGCAGAGATTCTTCTTCCTATTATATCCAGAGTATGGTTTAAACGGGTGTGTCCGAATGATTGGATCACTGCCACTTTAATTAACTTCCCTAAAACGAAAGATGCCAAATTTCTTGAAGATTGGAGAGGAATATCACTAAATTCGATGGTATGTAAAATATTTGCAAATATTATATTAAATAGGCTAAGACCGCTACTTGAACCACTTTTTATAGACTCATTGGTCTCGTTTAGGAAAGGTCGAAACACTTTAGAAGCGATTCTATCAGTAAAAATTTAACTAGATAGAGCGTTAATTCGGAAGAGTCAGTTAATTATTGTGACTTTAGATTTTAAAAAAGCTTTTGATTCGATAATACTCTCAAAACTTTGGAGGACATTAGAGGAGGTAGGTACCCCGATTGTTTTGGTAAGTTTGCTGGAACTAATTTATAAAGATTATTCAATGCATATTATTCATGCTGGCCGCAAATCTCCTAAAATCTCGATAATGAAGGGTTTGAAACAAGGTTGTGTTCTATCGCCTCTCTTATTTAACTTTATTACAAATTATATTATTTTAAAAGTTAGAAATTTACATTCGGCTCAGGGGTCCTCAGGAAATTTAAATATTATCGCTTTCGCAGATGATTTATGCTTTTTAGGTAAATCGGTGTCAGACATCCAATCAGTTATTAACTGTATCGTTGTAGAGGCGGGTTTGGTCTGATATTAAATAAAGAAAAGACGAAAATGATGACATCATTTTATACTTCTTCACAGGTGACCCTAAATATTAATGGTAATACGATTACAGAAGTGGATATTCTAAAATATTTAGGGGTCTTATTGGATAAGAAAGGTAGTACAAAGAAAGATCAACACTTTAAATTGAATAAAACTAGGGTAAAGTACAGGTCCTTGATGAAGATTTGGTCATCTAGGCAAATATCTATTCCTTTAAAGATAAGACTCTTAAGTCTTAATATTAGCTTCCTTATACTATGGTATGTAAACGTGGAACGATAATATATCTGATAATAACAAGATGCAAGTTTTTATAAACAAATGTTTAAGATATTTAACTAGGACCTTTTATCCGCGAAACACTACTAATTATATATTATGAGCGAGTTGCGATATTCTTCCTATTCATAAAACAATAGAATAGAGGAAAATTGAGTTGGTGGGCCATATTTGAGACACCCCTCGAATAATTTAATTCATCAGGCACTTATAGATCAATCCCCAGAAGACATTGCTCTTAAACCTTTTTTATTCCATAAAGGCAGTTGGTTTGGGAGAATTTTAAGGTCCTTGACTGAATTAAATTAATATTGGGATTTTTTAAAGAGAGCTTCGATTGACCGGAAAGTTTTCAAAAATATTTTGAGACTTATATATGAACATATGAAGAATACATGCTGAACACTTATATTTATTGTAAAGGAGTTTCCCAAAGAAATCTATATCAATATTGGAACTAATAACTTAGAGTTCAAGCCTCTATTTTAAAGTAATTAAATTGTTCTTTTAATTATTTATGATTAAATTAAACTATATTATACAGGATATAAGTTAATTCTTAAAGATATGGAGTTGAATTTGGTTATTTAGTAAATTGATAATGGCCCCTTTAATGTCCCTTATTTAAATATTTAAATTAAATTAATATTTTAGACCATTGTTTTTGGAAGATTTCTTTTTTTTTAAAATGACTTTCTATTTTTATCCTACTTCTCATTATAACTTACTTATATTTCTACTTCTTGCTAATTTTAAATTTGCTACTTTATTGGTAGAGGGTTTAGTTCCACTCATAAATTATTTTCTGGGTAATAGGTTTGTCGGTATCCTGAGACAAAATCGGCTAAATTATATGAAGGATAGGCCTCATATAATTCACGTTCGCTCATTTTGGGCAGGTCTATGACCAACGTGCAAGATAAGAAGATAAGAATTTATTTTTATATTCTCTCTTGAATTCAGAGGTTATGATCATATATTATACCTATTTTCTCTCTTAAATTCAAAAGTTTTAAATGTCTAGGATTACATATGGATACGGTTTGTTATGAATACTAATCCTATATTTTATATAATTTAGAGTCATAGCCAAATTATCAATGGGCGTATTTTGTATTTATGTTTGAAAAACTTTATGTGCCATGACTACTTTGAAATAAATTTTAATGAAAAAATAAATTTTCTAAGTGGTCCGAATGGAAGTGAAATAATTATTCTAATATCTTTTTATCAATTATTTAAAGGTGGTAAAAGTGCTATTATGGCTGCCATTATGTTAATATTAGGTGGTAAGGCCACCCATACATCAAGAGCATCTTCGGTTAAAGAGTTTATCAAAGAAGGAAAAAAGTTTATAATCTTATCTATATATTTATTATAAATAATTATTTATGATTTAGATCTGGTGAAATAGTGATTCATTTAAAAAATGATTATATTAAAGGCTATAGACAAGACTTATATGGGAAAAAAATTATCATACAAAAAATTTTCAACATTAATGGCAGTATTACACACAAAATTTATTCAACCAATCAAAGTTTTTTTTTATTAAAAATTTGAATATATATAATTTTAATTAGAAAATGTTATATCAACAAAATCTAGAGACATTCAAAATATATGCAATCAATTAAACATTCAAGTTTACCTAATCATTTATATAAAAATTAATAAATTATAATATAGGTATCAAATCCTATACTTATGTTGACTCAAGATCTATCTAGAACATTTTTTCATAATACAAATCCTAAAAAATTATTTGAAGTATATTAATACTATAATTTTGTTAACACTTCAAATTAAAGGCTGTTAATCAAGCATTGAAAATTGATGAAATATTTGAAATTTACAATACCACACAATTATCACTCTTAAAAGTTGAAGAAAATGTCCAAAAACAAACAAAAGTATGATTATTTTTGACTTTTTAATGATATAAAATGTTTAAAATGATGCTAATAAAAATTCTAAAAAGGGATCAATACTTTCATAATTTTTTTATTATTGACTTCATTTTTTATAATCAGTAACAAATACATATAGTTGAATATGACAAACCACTTGAAATATCATTCTTAAATGGTAGGTCAAATATACACTCCCCTCCCCATCTGATCTAACAGGGTGTTTCAATTTGGCATATAATGAATACCCTAAATTGAATCAAATCAAAATTTTACTGCACCTTTTATATTTGTTTTTCTTTATTTTTTTTAATTTTCAAACATATATAATGGGTTAATGACGCTTACTACCAAGTGAATGAATGGAAATATTCTTAATAACAACCTAATTTGCTAAATACCGACCAAAATTTATTAAAAAGTAATAAAACCCTTATTATTTAATATATTATAACAGAATCATGTGGTCGAGTCCAACCTTCTATATATCATCCCCCAAAGGATGGAACCACCAAGTTAGATTAAGAAAAAAACATGATCATTCTTGGGATTCGAACCCGCGACCATGGGATGAGTAAGTGAAGCTCTTGCTTACTTAGCCATAGAGGCTTTCCAAAAATCACGATTTTTCAAATATATATTATAAAAATATTTGGTAGTGCCTATCCAAATGAAAAATAAACAAAATTCAAATTTGATAGGTAGTACCTTAAGGTAGTAAGCATCATTAACCTATATAATGTGCCAATATTAGGATAAATTTATTTATTTTTAAATTTTAAGGTTTTTTTTAATGCCCATTTTTCATAAAATATATATTTTCTAATATTTATAAACATGGTTTTTATTAATAAAAACATGATTTTTCTATTAAATTAAAATTTTTATTACAATTTATTAATTATTTATTCAAAAATTTCAATTTCGTTTTTGCCAGGGGCAAGAACCCGAACCCTCCTGAACCCTCAATATTACTGAAGCCAAACCTAAGCCCAAACCTTTTTTTAATATTTAGGGTTCAGGGTTCAAGCTTTTTTTTTAAATTTTAAAAAATTTATATATAAATTAAAAAACATTTTTTGATCATTTTCCATGTAATTATTTTTGTTATATTTAGTAATTTTTTAAATTATAATGTAGTATTACAATTGTGATGATAAATTATTTTTATGATAATACTAATTAAAATAATTTTTTAAAAAATGATGTTTTTGTTATTTTAACTAATTTTAATAAGTCATAATTTTTCTGGTCTCCGAACCCTGAACACACCTGAACCTGAACTGGGTTCAGAGATTTCATTGAACCTAAACCCAAATAAACCCAAACCCATTTTTTTAGAAGGAGGGTTCTCGTCCCCAGTTTTTGCTACTTACCATTTAAAGATAGATCTCTATGCCCCTTTTATCTATTGCAATCATGAAAACTAATTTTGATTTACAATGTATTGAAAATGTCCAATTTTTTAATTACTATATGTGATTCACATTATTATAATCATTACCATTTTAATTCCTGCCATTACCAATATTATGCAATTCTTGCAAAATTTTAATAGAACCAAATCATTTCAACTGAAAATATATGCAAGATTCAAACAAACTAAACAGGTGCTCCAAAACCCATCACCTACCAAACAAAATCATATACCAAAAAACATATCTGGACAACCTTTCTTATTTATCATAAAACCATTCTAAAATCAACCAAATCTCAGATTGACAGGAGTACTAAGGGCCCTTTCAATATCCCTTTATAAATTGGCAGAATGAATTCATTTATATATAGTTTAATAACATTCAACTTTTCAAATAATTTAACATATATATTATACATTTTTTATAAACTAACATTTTAAGAACTTAATATTCCTATCATAATTTTCTTATTACATGCATATATTTTTTAAACACACTTAATCCTCACATTATTTTTAGTAACAAAAGCAATAAATTCATTTCTCTAAACTCCAAGAATACTTAACCTTTTAGACAATATTACATATTCTACATTTTTTCAAAACTAACCCATTTTTTAACATCAAACATTGTATCAATCATACTTTTCATTTCTTCCCAAAATTTATTACTCAATTTTTCTTATATATCTTTAAAACTCTCCAAAAAATGAAATATTTTTTAATAACTCCTTCGAAAATAAATTTTTAAAATATTCCAAAATTATTTAAAAAAATTTTTTTTTGGTCTGTTACAATTTCATTTCTTTATTCATCATATAAAATAATTTCATTTTTCTCATCTTTTACTCAAGTCACAACCAGAGGTCTGCATTAGGCGGATTTTTACGTCCGCCTACACCCGTCTATTTAAGTGGGATGGTGGGCGAGCAGATAAAATTTTTAAAAAACGGGTGGGTGGGTTAAAAAGAACATTTAAATTATGGTTGGGCGGGTAGGTTGGGATAAAAAATTTGCAACTTTTATTTGTTATTTACTATCATTGTGAACATTAAAAAAATATGCTCCCTGAAATTCCAACATTTTTAATACCAAAGTACCGATAACTGAGAATGTTATCGTCGGAAGAAATTAACTAGGTAAAAAATTTATCGAAAATATGTTGGATTTGATTTGCATGGAAGTATATAACTTCAACATGGATGAAAATCTGATTTTACCTGTTTTCCAAAAAGCAAAGAGAATTCAGTCAAGGATTATTAAATTATAAATTCAATGTTTGAAATAGATAGCTAGCATCCATATCAAAATTAAACAACAATAGATGAAAGGATGTGCTCTTACAGAGGAGAGCATTACCTTATGACATCAAAATATTTTAATCTTAAAATAAAGAATTTTTGTACAATTAAGCAAGAATTTAAGCCATAGTTTCGTTTAGGTTTAAAATTTATAAACAATTAATTTAAATTACTTTTTAAATTTTATTATTAAGAGTTTCACTTTTTATTTAAATATCTTACATGAACGGATATCTATTACATGAAATTTTCTCATTTTTAGAACAAATTGATTATACAATCGCTAGTATCGCCACTTATATAAAATTTATGACATTCGCCAGATTATTAAAATAGCAAATGAATTGAAATGGATATATACTATAATTTGTTTTAAAAATAGCGAAGTTATTTTAACAATATATGAGGCATGTAAGAGGCAAGAATTTAACAAGAAAAAATCAATGAAATTATTACTCTATTGTTTTTCCCAATTCCTGAGTTACAATAGTAGCATTTCATCATCACAGATTACAGTAATAATATGATTTGTTGTAACACATTTCCATAATGTGAAAAAACTTTCTTATATAGTTAAATAACTTTCCATAATTATTGTAAAGAACATTTTTGATGTAAATTTTTTAAAAAATATTTTTGATATAAATTTAAAAAATTTTTTTTTTAATAATAAAAGTTTTTAAACTTTAATGAAGGCTAACGTCAAAGTTATGAATTGAATTAGTAAGTTTAAGTGGGAAAATGAGAATTTTAAAAAAAATTTTTACAATAACTTATTTTTAAAAATACATAAATTTTTAAAAATTTAAAATATTATTACGATATATTAATTTTACTTTTACTTATCTAAAGAATGGAAATCAGGATAAGAAATTTCAAATTTCTTAAACATGAGTGAAAATTGGAATTTAGGTTTTCAGATAATTCTTATTTGTTTAGATTTTTATTTTTTTATATGATCAATTCGAGACACTAAAATAAAAAAAAACCATTATAAATTATTACACAATACAAATCCATTATAAATTCAATCGTTTAAAGGAATGCATCTAATTCCATCTTCATTGGAGTTTATGTGAGAATAAAAATTCGAAAAATTGTATGTAAAATAACTGCTCAAAATACTCTTAACAATTGCAATAATTATATTCTGTTAATGGGTTTAGGAGAATTCGATCGGTATTAATTTTTAATAATTCCTAAAAAAATTTCGATCGAATTTAATTTTGGCGAATAGGGTAGTAAAAATATGATATTTGGATAATTTTCACTAATTATCCCTGCTCTATTTCAGATAAGGTGTATCCAAAATTATATATATAAAGTTAGTAAATAATCGAATATTATATTAACAAACCTGAAACTGATAGATTCAAAATACTAGCGATAGTAAAATTTGACATTTAAAAAAAATAGAAATATAGTTTTTAATCGGAAAAAAATTATAACTTATGAAAAATTATTAGAAGTTTAAAATTAAAATTGTGGCAAAAGTTTTAATATAAGTTATATTACCGGAAGTTTTTAAAAATATTAATTTTTTTTCAAGTTTTTAAAGGTTTTTTTAAAAAAATCTCAACAAGTTTTTACAATAATTATGGAAAGTTATTTAACTATATAAGAATGTTTTTTCACATTATGGAAATGTGTTACAACAAATCATATTTTTACTGTATATGAATTAAGCCCTGAGATGTGTAGCCATTCTATTCTAAAATCTACCTATGATGCTGGGCATTGTTTCTTGTCTTGTTATGATAAGCTTCGGCCTTGTCTTTTTGATTAAGCAATAAGAGAACTTTATAAAAGAAAATGTCTAAATTACAGTTTTTGGATTATATAAACTGTGCTTGGATAAATATTTACATCATAAAATTAAACTTTAAATCCCTCACTAATTAAAGAATGTTTTGTCAAAGAATAATATAAATGATTACCGAGGACCAATTCAGTTTGGCACAATGTTTTAAATAAAACTTTTTCTTAGCGCCTTGCAAATTTAATTTATTTCGGTCAGAAATCCCTCCAAATTTTTTATTTATTTTTAGGTCCGAGCCATGTTTTTATTTTAAGCCTGAGCCTGTCCAAATTTAATTGAAAAATATGACTTAAACACATGATAAATTATTTAATTACTTAGATTCTTTTTTTATATATTTTGAATCAAAAATGTCAAAAGCCTTAGCACTATTTAAAAAAGAAATTGTTTTTAGATCCAAGCCCAACTTTAGCTTCATTTTCAGGTTCAATTAAGTCTCTAAAGGCCGATAAATATAAAAATGTAATTTTTATCAAACTCCCCCTATATTGCAACTGATATAATTCATTTAAAATAATGCATTCGCGATGATGAATTCGCTCTAATATTTTCGCTATAACCGCGGGAAAACATTTGCTGTTAGGCAATCGCGCGATCGCTTTAATGCATTCGCTATAATAAATTTGCGATAATGCTTTCACTGTATTACATTCATAATACATTCGCTATATTATATTAGCGCAAATGCATTCGCTATAATAACTTTTTGCGGTTAGGCATTCACGATAATACATTTCGCTTTATTGACATATAACCATTTTACCATACCAATGTAAGTGAAACAAGAAGATGTAAGGGTCATTACCACTTTTGTTGAAACCTTTTTCCATGGCACACCAAATGTAACATCATTTTGGTGCCCTTAAATCCGCAGATATTCTCTCTAGACTTGAACTAACCTGCATATTTAGAACCAATGGAATATCCGTAATTCCTTAGTCAAGGGGTCAGCTTCTGGTTTGGAACTTCACCTTTATTCACCTAAAATCCAATCCCAACGTCGATGCTCTCGCTTTTCCAGAAACGTGAAAAATCACTAGCTCCGTCGATCCTTCTTAGTCATTTATACCCATCTCCTGTTTCATTCTTACCACTTTCGGCAGGAAAGATTAAATATTTTTTTTAAAGAATCGGGGAGACGGATTCACGAAAAGACTGATCAACCTAACGAATCTTATTTCTTACAAATATTACTTCCCTCCCAGGTTATATTAAATAGTGGGTTTTTAAGTCAACTCAAAAATAACCATACTTTATATGTATAATTTATTAAATATGCAATTTATGTCAATTTGTTATTAAAATTTATAAAAATTATTGGAATCATTAGGTGCTGGACACATTCAAGGCGGAATTGAAATTGCTCGCAGAACGGCTGGATAAATACGAGATTTTGAAACAACTGAAAAATCATATAGTCGTCATGGAAAAGGAGATGCACCAATTTGAATATTTTCAGATAATTACCGTAAATTTTAAGAGGATTTAATTGATATATTCTTTAAATATAAGGTGCAATAGAACCCGTAACCATTTAGGTTAGGTTTAAACTAAAAAAAATAATAATAGCTTTACGCGTTTTAATATTATCTTTACAGTGGATAAGTAAGATAATAATACATATATAAACTTTATTTATTTTGAGTTTGCATGTACCCTTAGTTACAAATGCAGTTATTTTTTACAATTTTTAACTTTTTTTTGGTATCTTTGAAAAAAATTTCTCTTATATTTTTAATTACAACAATACAGATGTTTTTGTATTTAACATCTTATATGGCTTGTATTTTGTAATATACCAGGAAATGGAGCAATTGAAGCAAACCATAGTTAAAGAAGAGACCATTCTGCAAGCCTGGCGATCTAAATTGATTAAATTTACGGTTTATCATATATTCTTAAAATTTCTATTTGAGTCTCATAGATATACGAATTTTATATAATTATTTTATATGTTTGAGTCATCTTTCCCCCCTTTTTTTTGATGATTCTTTTTCTCGGTTCATTCTGAGCCTGTCTCAATAGAATATGAAGTAAAAATCTTTTATTAAAATTAAGATGAATGCCCTCATTTTTTGGTAATATTTATAATATCTAAAAATTAGAATATATTTTTTTTTTGGAAGAGGGAGGGGGCTAAATAGGATTTATTGAAGTTTATTAGACAATCACTGAATACCGAAGTTAGTATGTATATATCATAGACCTGCAAAGGTACCAATTGCACAGCCCGACCAAGATTTGTTTTATTTGACCTCACCCGGATTTCTTTAAAGAAAAGTTTTTGGCTCAGCTTGGCCTTGATTTTTTTTAAAATAAATTTTGATTCGGCCCAGGGATATGAAATTTTTTCAATAAAATGATTTTGAAATGATATAAGAAACTAAGGTCTGCAAAACCCGGTCCTTTTTGGCCTGTTAAGCTTTTGCATAAGTTACCTGGCATGGCCCGCTGAGTTTTTTGTCTGACCTGGCCTGTAATTTAAAAAAAAATTTGTCTGAAGCCCGGCCTGGCTAGAAATATTGTTTACCCTGCTCTAAATTTTTTAAAAAATTGATATTACTTTAAATTTAAATGACATAATTTTATATTAAAAAAATATATAAATGAAATTGCCCAAGCACCAATAGACAGTCATAAATCACAAACTTTTGAACAAAATTAAAATTAATTTTGCATAAATTACGCTACTAAAAGATCTAGACAGAAATAGTGAAAATTTTTTAACTAATAATGTTTTTTCTTGATTTTTTTGGATGATTTAATTAAGTTAAATACAATATAATATTTATTTTTTATGAATATGAAATATAAAATAAAAAATATGTATTGTATTATACAATAAAATAAATAAGTTGTTTTTAATATTATCTATTTTTAATATAATCTATTTATATTATTTTATTCCAAAAGTTGTGTGCCAAATCTTTCCATACTTCCCTTCACTTCAATTTAATTCATCATATCATATAATAATAGCCTATTTGTCTCCATAATTTTTTTTTTATTGAACATTTAAATTATTTTATAAAAGAAGAGAAATAAAATTATTTTTTAACTTTTTGGATATATTTTATTAAGGAAGAAAAATCGAAAATAAATTTGGTACCATAATATAGTATAAATGTTATGATGAAAAGAAAATAAATAACAATAAAAGATAAAAGTATTTTAAACTTTTTGGATATAATTATTTTTAAAGATATCCTATATAATTAAAATGTGTAGAAAAATGTTATTAAAGCTCGGTCTGTCCACAGAATTTTTTTTATCTAATTGCCTGGGCCGGCTCGAAATTTTTTTATTTACGACTTGCCCAGCCCGTTAAAATGTGCTCAACTGGTTATGATTTTTGCCCGGCCCAGCCCATTTTAATCTATTAAAATATCTCTCCGGGCTGAACTTTGCAGATCTCTAATTATAAATATGAGAAGTTAATGAATGCTATTATTCAATTATACAACAATTTTTGAATATATTTTACTATTTTATGATCGCCATTTAAAATATTCGGCCCGGCCTGGCCCTGATTTATGGAAGAAATTTTTTTTTATCCTGCCCGAGTATTTCAAAGAAATGTAAACCCGTGTTTATTTAAAAAAATAAGGCTCGGCACCTGTACCCAGGATGGGCTTGCAGGTCTCATATATATTTATATATGTTAGCGGCAATGTGTTTTTTCTTGTAATGTGTTATTGCTTCAACTTTGAATATTTTTTTGAGCACGTTTTTAAATTATGAATCTTATTTTTCCGGAAATATATTCCAGCATATTTAGAAAACCTACCTTATGAATTGTAGGCAATTTTGTCCTTAATTTTTAAGTCATTTATAATTTATATAGAAAAGTATATGGCAAAACTATTATAAATTATATCAAGTTCAAAAGTTCATGGCAAAATTATTTGGAATTCCTGAACTAAGTATTCCAAACATAATGGAATACATTTTCAGGTAAAAAACAGATTTTAAATTTATAAAAAACGAGCTTCAAAAAATAATTTTATGACATTGCCGCTAATATACACATATATCAACCATTTTACCTTAGAATATTGTTTAGAGTTTTTTTCATTTATTTTATTTTCTCCCTTACGCTAAATTTACAGTAAACGCGTTATCTTCAAGGTTACAGCTGCTTCAATTTTAAATGCTAATTTAAGATAAAGCTAAAATAGGGATAATTATTTTATATAATATTTAATAAAAATAAAAATCATTCGTTATTGTTTTTATAATCGTATCCTATTCATTTTATCGACACATCGCAACATATGTTTTTCAAATTTTATCATAGAGTTATCATCATAACGTTCGATATTTATAAATTTATACCTATTTATTGGCTTTATTTTTTAATAATGCTGCATTAAATAACCCAACGCTTAAACAAAACGCGTTTACTATAAATGCGGCCTTAGTTCAATATTATATTTACCTTTTTAAAAAAAACAAAATTGATTTGCATGACCTAAGACATGATTATTTTACAGAAACACGCTGACCAGAATTCTCTAAAAATTGCCGATTTGGTCAAGGAAATTACGAATCTTTCCGTCGAGAGCGATAGCATGAATAAACAGCACCAAGCTAAATTTACAGAGAGTAAAAATATGAAAAAGTTGGAAAAAGAGTTAAACGTATGTAGATTAGTTATTATTATTTTTTTCTAAAACATAATTCTAGAAAATTCTAACATACGATTTGATTAAAATTCACAAACTTCTAAATAAACAATATTTAGGACACAGCAGTTTAAAATGAGATGATTTAATGAAACATTGTCACGTGATAATTTTCTTAACAAAAAAGAGAGAAAGGAGATGCCATTGATATATGAGATAATATGCTGCTTGGCGATTTATTTGTATCTATCTATGTCAAACCTTAAATTGAGCCGAACCAGATCTGCAAATATAAGCCTGACACAGGTCTATATTCATTTTAGAAATGATCTTGTCCATTAAGCATTCGTGTAATTTTGATGCTTTTGTATGTTAGTTCCTAATTATAGAAAATTAATTTTATTGAAAAAACGGGTGATGTTTAAGATATGATAAAAATAAATTTTTTTAAGGGGGGGGGTATAAGATCCTATATATTTATTAGCACATTTTTTAAATGCCAATGTGCTCAATTTCACAACAGTGGTTGTATAATTTTTTAGCTTGTACTCAAACAACCCCGAACATTGTACACATATCCTTATAAGGTTACCGAATGTAGGTCCTATATATATAATATATTGGTTTTTATATTTAATAATGGTTTCACATTCATTTCTATTCACCCATCTTAATGTGGTCATTGTGACGGATTCCAGTGTTTTCATCCTTGAACGCTATACGATTCAATTTCGCACCCACATTTTCTAGTATACTACCTTTGCCCCATTTTTTACTCTATTCTCGAATAAACAGGCCCATATTATTTGTCCAACTGTATATTTTTTTACTCTTTTTACCGGGTAGTATAATAACTACCTTTTGGTTTTAATAAATCTAAGAGCACTTTGGACCTTATCCCCATAAGTCAAACCTTCAGGGTTCCTGGAATTATTATAGTATAAATCGGCCAACGTTATCTTTTTCTTTGATCCAATTTTTTACAATGGTTACCATTCTCTTCGCCTGGCCATTAGAGCTAGGATGATATGGTGGAGCCAACACATGTTTTATTTGTAACGATGCACGAAAATGTTCTAAATATTTACTTATAAAAGCTGGATCCCCATCAGACAAAATAATTTTTTAAATTCGAAATTTAGCCCACAATCTCTGTAATATTTTAATAATGATTTTAGTCGTCCCATGGACTTTTTAATATTCAATTCACCTGAAATATGAATCCACGATTAAAAAATGTTTTTTTTTTAAATCAAAAAAATTAATGTGGACACGTTCTCACAGTTGACTTGACTTTGGCCATCCATTGCCCACCTCTTTATAGGGCATAAAGGTACAGTATTGCACGGGGCACATCTTTTTGTGATTTTTTCGATTTCCAACCGCACCACCAAACATATTCACGAGCCAAGATTTCATTTTGTCTCTGCCCTGATGACCAGCATGTTGCAAACATAAAATACTATCACGCAATAAAGTGTAGCACGATTTCCACGCATTAGATAATGATCAACAAATGACATTCTTTTTCAATCTTTTTATATTCATTATAATTATTTTTCCACGGTTTTACTTTCGTTAGAATATGACTTAATCCCCTATCCTTTAAGGTATTTATTTAAAATATTCCCAAGTTGTAGGACCTTCCTTTAGCATATAGGATAGGGTAGAAATTAACGACTCTTCACTATATCTAGACAAATTTTCTGACAAGTGATTCACTTTTTCTTGCCGATACCGAATTCCCACATTGAAACTTCCCACAAGAAACAATCAACGCTATAGTCGCGGGGACAACATTAATTCTTTGTTATCCTTTTTGAATAAATGGATTAATAGTTTATTATCGGTATAAATCACAAATACCGATTAAATACGAAATTTGGTTAAATACATCTGTTATAACTTTTTTAAATAAAATATATGTAAAAATGAAAACTACAATAGATATTTAATTACTCTTTAGCCTAGACTAAACAGTTGCACTAGGACACCCTAATTTGGTTTGTTTTAGGTATTTGATGGTATTGTTATTTTTTGTATTTTTTTCTCGTTTTTTGTTTTTTCGTTTCCTTTAATAAAAATTTCCTTTAGCTTTTTAGGCTGTTTAGTCGATACTAAATACCGACTAAACAGTCGATTATTTGTAATAAGTCGACCCAGGATACGGCCTAAGTGTTATTTTTATATTTTAATTTTTTACCGATTTGTATAAAATTCTCAATTATGGTTCTCTATTTTTTATATATTAAGTTCAGTTTTTAATGTTGGAATTTTTTATTTATATTTGTAATTTAATTTGTATAATGTAACTAAATAATATTCTGGAGTAATAAAGATGGATAATACACCAATAATTTTTAATATTTTTGATTTATATATTTTTTTTAAACAAAAATATGATGCAGCTAAAATTAAATTCCATAAGCCATCAAATCAAACATTTAGCTGAAGAGAAACAAACGCTGCAAACAACGCTAGTCGAATTAAGCGAAAGGTAGAATCACAAATCCTTCTTATAAATTCTAATCCTAAATTTTAATTTTATAGTTTTATCTTATTAGCCTATAACAAATTGGGTTATATCTTAATATGAGTTTTGCATGAATATGTATTCAATTCAACCCCCCCTCTCTATTATATAAAGTGGGTTTTCAAAGCTTGCGAATTTTGCCTAATTTTAAATTGATAATTATATTAAGTTTTAAATTAAAAATTGATAAAAAGTTCATAATTTGAAAATTGTCAAATTTTACCCACAAAAAGATATTTATTTTTTTACCAATTATTTTTAATAACCAATCCTTAAACATGTGAATAAAAAAAGGGTTTAAAATTTAAGTTTAAATCGATATGAAGAATTTCATGCAAAATGATAATTAAAATTAATTAGATAAATGTAATATTTTTTTGGTTTATTATCATTATATAGTGTAGTGAAGTCAGGGTCCTTAGAAAGTGACTTTATGCTCGTGGAGGGCATTTGAAATTAGAAGTAGATTGTGTTTTTAAAGTATTTTCATCATTAAAAATATAAATTTTGTGTTTAGATTACCTAATTAATTTTATTAAGAATTAGGTTAAATTATTCACTCAGTTTCATAAAAAAAAGTAATATTAATGAAAATGGGTACTATGTAAATTAAATTGGCAGTAAAAAATCAATGGGCAGGGTTCCAAAATTTTTGTAAGTTAATTAATATTATTTTTTTTTATTAACTTGGAAATTTATTGATATTTGAGAGCCGAACAATATATTTATAAAAAACCTGATAATAATGGTAAGGGTTGAGAATCAAAAATCCAGTATTGTATTTAGATTAAAGAAAAAATAGAAATGATGTTAAAATATGACTATATAAATAATGGCCAATAGATATATTTTATAATAATAAAAAAATAATACAGCTTATTTTGATTAATTTACTGCTAAAAATCAAACAATTATTTTACTACTTGTTGCTCTGGATGGAAACATTTTATTTTACAATATTGAAAACATACTCAGTGTTTTTTATTGGGACTATAAGTAATGACATACTTACGGTATTCATATTGCAAAATAAAAACGAACTAATCTAGAAAAATAAAAAAAATTAGGCAAAATAATTATAATTTAAATATTATTAAAGGACTTGTCCAGACCCTAAAAAATAAAAATAAAAGTCCATCAAAAATATCGGCCCCTGTCTAAGACCAATAGAACCGGGCCTTTGACCTTCTATATAGTTTAAACTCCTGACTCCTAGACAGTTACGTTTTGTTCAGCATAGGGGAATAGTTCTATAATTTATGGAATTTTGAATTGGAATATTGGGATCTGGTTACGAGATCGATCTTTAGGAGGTCAAGTTAATGATAGACCACTTTAAGAGATTTTATTGTATATACATTTTAGCTCGATTGGAGATCCTCAACTTTATAGATGTTATTGTTCTTTTTCGACCAATTTGTTTGCCCTGTTTAATTTAATCGTTCAAATTGTTTTTATATGACAAGTTATAAAGTTTACAAATCCTTCTGGCTCAATAATAATACTGTTATATATTTTATTTTAAACATTATTTTATCTTATATTTTTTGATAGTAATGACTATGTAGCTGTCAATGCAGACACCAGCAAGTCAAAAAATTTGGAAAAAGAAAAAGAGAAACGTGACATGATAGACATGAAAAAAAAGGAAGTCCAGGAACTCAAGGATAAACTCGAGTCTCTCCGATCTATGCTAAGAACTCAAACCCTGGATCAGGGCAACCTGGAGACCTCTATTCGCCATGAAGCGGAGAAAAATCAGAAATACGTGTAAGAAAATAGATTAATAAAAAGGAAAGTGAGAATGTTTTCCTAAGTAGACTTAATGCTCGCTAGATCTCCTAAAGTAATGCTCTAGGTACCCCATCAAGACTACCACCCCCGTTAAGGTGTAATCCATTCTGGCCATATATATAGTATATTAACACCCTCTAATTTGATTTATCTACTTTTTAACACATTTTCGTTTTTATTATAAATAATTGAAACATTGTGTCAATTAGAGATCTGCAAAGTTTGGGCCGGGCTCGGGCCTAATTTTATTTAAAATAATTGGATTGGGCTGGGCCTAATATTTTTTAAAAAATTCGGGCCAGGTTGGGTCGGACCTTGGAAATTTTTTTAAATATATCTAAATTTATCAATTTTATATGGAATTTTTGATTTTATTTATTGAAACTAAACGCCATATAACATATTTCTTTTATTTTGAGTAATTATAAAAATTAAATATTTAAATAAATTTGGGCCTGGCCGCTAAATTTTTTAAAAAAAAATTTCCAATTCGGGCCGGGCTGGGCTTGAAAAATTAGGCCCGATGCAGATCACTAGTGTCAATTAATTTTTAAGGTTAAGAATATACCAGAGCATTCTGGCATATGAGAAATTAAACATTCAATAAAATGAATTATATATTCACCTATTACCTTAAATTATGTAAATCATTTAAAATGAATACAACTAACAAGCAGAATGGTGATTTTGTTAATGTGCAATCTCTAAATATCAAAGTTTTTGGAATCCATTTTGCAACCTAATTTTTGACTTGTATGCGTTCTAGAATGTTCTGACATGGCCTCTGTTAAATTACTAGTTAATTAGTATTTAATGTTCTTTCTTTATTAAAATAAGTTTCTTAAAATATAATGGCATTTTCTTTTAATATCTTGTTTACATATGTTGTTGAAATTTAAAGCATATAAGTTGATCTTTTTATCAATAATTATATACAATGCTTATCTTTTAAAATGCGGGATAAATTTAATTAGTAAGAATTTTATATTTTAATTATATTTATTGAGAGCGATTTATTCATTATTAGAATCAAATTTTCCGAGGACTCAGAATGAATTTGGATTAGAATTAATTTATTCGAGTAGAATTGAATTTCCCAAGTGAATCTCCCTTTTTGAAAATATTTTCAATATATTTTTTTCTCATTTTAAAAGCTTTTAATCATATATATTTATATATATATTCACTCCTAATAAAGAAAATCATATTAAACATTTAGTTGATTTTTTTCTTTCAAATTGTACATTCTTATCTATATCTTCTTTGGCTATTTCTAAAATTTATGATTGGATATAAATGATAATAAATAAAGTTGGATTTCGATAATCCAAAGGAACTCACGGGAATTAAGAAAATAAATACGAATATTTATGAATCAACCAGTATATATATAGTATGTGTAAAGTCACATGTGCGGAACATTTTTGGCCAGAATGGAAACTAAACTAGAAGTCAAAAATGCCTCTGTTACGGGTTCATTAAATATTTACTTTTTATGTTACCTTAGATTAAAATAAGTGTATAAAATATACAGGTTCTCATCGAAGTAGGGTATTAACAAGCCCGATTTTCTTCGATTTTTAAAAACAATCCGATTAAGATTTTAGCCAAAATAATATTCTGTAAGTTACGAGATCCTGCAAATAGAGATCCAAACCTTTTTCCCATCTTTGAGCAAAATCTCCAGGCTTAATATTCTTTTGGCTAAAATCTCGAATCGGGCTTTTTAACAACCCTAACTAAAGCATATTATTTTTTCTTTTTATGGTAATTTAGAAATAATTATACATGTATAATATAAAAGCCTTAGCCTAAAATTTATTTATAATTTTTTATAAAATTTAACATATTAATTGCCAGTTCTGAACTAACATACATGGGTGAGATGTTGAGGAAAAAGCGGAACGAAGTTAGGGATATTAGCAACTCGGATACTGATATCACTCTTCTATACGGAGAATGGATGCCTGGTTTATTGAAAGCTATCGAAAGCGCTTATGCCCAAAAAAAATTTACAAAGAAACCAAAGGGACCCATAGGTTAATATAAAAAAAAGTTTGCCGGCATATTTCGATTATCCAGATTTAAAAAGTAAAATGTATTTTTAGAAGGTTGGCGTGATATATTCTGAAAGAAATTTTCCATGCTGCTCAAATTATCAAAATATTTTTTTAAGCTGGACCAAAGTTTTCAAAATGTTTATAAAACTGTTAATTTTAGCAAATTTATTTCTTTTTATTTCATAAAAATTATTAAGGTCTTTGTCGGACATTGTTTAAAATTATTAAATAGGTCCTCAAAATTAATGGCATGAATTTTTTAAAAAGTTTCGTGGGCTGGCTTAGTTCTCGACCTCTAATGTGTTATTTTACTCATACATTTTGTATATTCAGAGTGGTCTATTTCTATTTTTAAATTAAAAATTATAAAAATAGGTTGAAGTAATACTGTAAAATAATGTTGATGAAAAAACGAGTAATACTCGAATAACTATAACACAAAGTTAACATATAGCGATTTGCTAAGCAACCATTAAATTTATTTAAAATGCAAAAGGACATATTATATTTAAAAGAAGGACATGTGGACAGTTCCTATCTACTATATATCATACCCCATGTAGCACACAACCACATTATAGTGGCAGAAAATAAACCCAATCCTTACTAGATTCAAACCATGATAAATGTGGCAAGTGGGCTTGGTCTAACATAATCCCCAAAGTTCTTCATTATTATTTTATTACATTATTTGTTTAATTTTATACAGTCTAGGCCTAATTAATATTGAATCAACTAAGGTATGTCAATAGCACTTATTTTTTCAGATGAAGGCGATTTAATTCAGTCCTGGCTCCAGTATGAAACTTTTCCTACACCAATAAGGGTTAATTAAGCACTAAATGGTAGCTATTGATAGTTGTAAAATGAAATGGTCGGCATCAAAACTCTTCATCCTTCATTTTCCCACCTAATGAAGATAATTTATATGCTTCTGTCAATAATATTAAAGAAATTGTAAATCCTCTAACAGCAATAGATACTACTTACATGCTTATATCCACTTCGTTTTACACAACAAAATGGAAATCTATATCTAAATAATGATATTTTATTTCAATATTAAGTAAAGCTATTTTTTAAAATTATATATTATATATATTAATTAAATTTAAAAAAATAATATTTAGATTTTTTTTAGCACTTTGCCAACCATTACTTTTTTTATCGATTAAAAATTAACTAAAAAAAACAATGGTTATCTATCCCAACAATTTTTTCGGTATAAATTTATATTGATTTAATAAACATGCTTACCAACTTTTAGAAAATTTTATGCATAAGTACATATTTAAAAAAAAATCTTTTACTTTTTCCGGAGATACATCTGTTTTTTTAGAAAATCGAGGCCTATCTAATAATACCAAATATAGGTCTTTATCATTTTTATTTTTTGAGTAATCTTTATTTTTACCAGTTTTTTCAAATTAGGAAAGAAGCTTTTTTAAACTTTAACCATCCATATCTCCGGAACTAAGTTAGAGCAAAAAACTAAATTGCATGGGTCCTCACTCCTCACAAGATATATTATCATCATGCAAAGTTTCATTCGATTTGAAAGAGGTCCACTACAAGACTTTTTTTTGGTCGATGTCCAAAGCAAAGTTTATTCTTTCGGGATTAATGAGATATATAACCATTATTACTTATTGCTATCAATGTTACTTAAGAATGAAAACGGACACTCATCAATATTATTTCTGCATTATATGCCAAGTATTGATGTTTACATTAAATGCTACCATATTAAACTTAATCCCTACAGAAAATAACGAAAAATTCTATTATACAAAAAAAGAAAAGTTGGAAAAGAATCAATCAACCCTTAGGAAGATAGAGAATCCCTCTTCAAAAATAAAACACAAAATCATGCTTAAGAATTAGTTTTAAATTATGTAATTGAAGATCTCCAACCATTTTCAATAGTAAAGAGTACAGCCTTTATAGATATTATCACAAAATTGCAACCTACACTAAGTATGATCTACTCTAGTATCAAAGATTAACAAGGTTTAAAACACCATGAGAAAAATTTATTGAATATCCTAACAACTATTTGCAACTGGATTCTCGTAAGGGTTTGATTATTTTCAATATTTCTTTTTTTTGTTACTATTTAAATGTTCATTAATTTCTTTCATCTTTGAAGAATATAGTCGAATTTTTTTTTAGTTAAAATATTATTAATTATCATCATGTTAAGAATAATTTAATACTATATAGATTAATACATTTTATTTTATGAGTGGGCTTTTTAATATTATATCTATAATGATTTAATATTCTATTTAAAATAAGGTAATGTAACTCCATAAAATATTATATATTTTATATAATATAAAATTCATACTTTTACCTTCATTTGTTCTTATAGATTTGAGCTGGGTATCGAGATGAGACAATTTTTCATTTACAAAAGACTAGTGTCCTTAATTTTGTTTATTGGTGTAAAATAAGTTTGGGGTCATGGCAGAGTTAAATTATTTTCATCTGATGAAATAAGTACCATTGATTGATATAATCATTATAAAATCAGTTATAATATCAGAGAATAAAAATTCACATGCCTTGATTGAATTATTATTAATTAGATAAATAATGACTAATATATACAACAAAAAAATATGTAATAATTAAAATGAGAATGAAGAACTTTTGGACTTATGTTAGACGATGCCAACTTGTCTTAAATTTTATCAAATTCAGTAAGAATTGCTTTTTTCGGACGCTAACTAGGTGATTATGGGCTACGCGGGGTGTTATATATATTAGACCGGAATCATCAGCATATCATCTGTTAACATTATATTGAAAATAGTCTTATTGCATTTTTAATAAATTAGTCGTTGTTTAGCAAATTGCTATATGTTAATTTGACACCGTTTAACATAAACCAAACTATGGATGGTTTGATCTGAATTAAAAATCTCGGCATAAATTATTTAAAAATTTTTTTAAAAAATATTATATAATATAAAGTAAAAAATAAAAAGGTATTTTATTTCCATATTTTAATTTTTTTTTTTAAAAAAATCGAAATGGAAACGACTTTACAGCACCTAATTAATATTGAAAAGGGTTACTATTTATTAATACATAATTTTGTTACTATAAAGGTCTCTACATCAACGTCAAAAACGGGAATGCATCTTTAGCCATGGAAACCTGTTTGAAAAGAATTCTCAGAAACTTTATATGCGACAACCAAAATGATTACTATATTCTTAAAAAATTGTGTGAGGCTCATTGCCCCAGACATTTTTTACCCGTCATTTCTATCTTCAGTTATTCGGTTTGTTTCTTCAATATAATATATAATCTTTGTAAAAAAAAAGAATAATAGACTAAAAAAATATAAATGCCTGCAGATATGGGAAAAATGGGTAACGTAGACGGATAGAATAAGCTATGTTTTTATAATCTTTGCAGACATTTACAATAAATAGAAATAATATTCTTAATATCTTGATAATATAATTTACTTGGAACTATCCTCCCCCCCCCTCCCAATAAAACATGGTAAAAAAATTTTAAGCAGCTATCTCAAAAAGGAAGCATAATTCTGTTTAAATAGCCTTTTTTGTATTTCCTTTTTACTTGGAGGAATAAATATTCTTATTAATTTTTATTTCGTTGCTTAATAGTTTTTTTTTATAAGTTTCTGGTGAAAATGATTATTTGTAGAATCAGAATGAGTTGAGTTTATTATATATATTTTTTTTAAATTATAAGTTGAAGGTCAGTTTCACTGAAAAGATAGATATATAATAGATTAAATATGTTTTAATTAATTATACATATATATATATATCGATTTTATTTTTTGATTTTGATAGGACAAAACCTACGACATATCCAAATATGTAAGTTTACATCATATTTTTATTTTTAAAAATTGTTAAAACAACAACTAAATTTTGCCCTTTTAAAGAATGCGCGACTATTTTCTTTTAAAATGAAACTTTTTTTTTCAACCTGTAAAATGATCGATGGTCATGTAAGCACGATAAAACCTTATCCCTATAAATTTTTCAAAACGAATAACAAATAAGGAAAATATTTTATCTGTAGAATAATTTTTTTTATCTATTATTGAATCGAATTATTCGAAATTATATTCAAAATTATTTTAAATTAATTTTAAGTACTTAACAAGTTCCTTGCGGAATTTTTTATTCCTATAAAGTTTTAATACCAATATTGAATAATATATTTTATAAGTGTAAGGGAAGTAGACTCATTCATATAATTTGAGTTTTTTAAATAATCGTCATAAATAAGAGAAACAAGATTTACAAATAAGATTCCCAAATTTGGAATTCTTAAATTTCCCCTATTTTTAGCGGTAAGCGGAAAATAGTTCCTCGAAAAAAAAATTCCCATAATAATTCTCGAAAATAATTCCCCGGAATTGATTTTCTCAAAATTTTTTAAATATTTTATTTGAGGATTTTTATTTTGTGGGTATATTTATAGGGAATTTTTTCTCCTATTTTGTTATTTTTAATATCTTAAAAAACGGGGATTTTTTTTCCGAGGAATTTTTTTCCTAAATTCATTTTTAGCGATTTTAAAAACTCTTTAAATACGTATTTCCATAGCATCTATTGATAATATCTACAATATTGCTTTAAAATATTTCCAGGCAATTTATAAACTATCTCTTTTATTTCATAAATGTAAAATATTTATCATCTAGCTGTGTAGCTATCGAAACGCGTACAACTTTACCGATCTCATCGATATTCAAGATGTCGATATTTTTAATTATATAATGGACCAGGTTAATATATAATTTTTTTTTAGTTTTTTTAATAATTTAATGATAGATCTGTTATAAAATTATTCGTTTATATAATATACCGTGTTACCTAAATACTGATATATATATATTAGTAGGAGTTTAGCAAATTCAAAACTTTAATTTCCATCTACCCATATGAATTTTATACTGATTCCGCATAAATTTTTCTTTATTTGTTTTAATTTATATGAAAAGTCGAAATTGGGGATCTTAAACAAAAGCATTTTTTTTGTTCTAGTTCGGCCCAAATAATTGCATTCCATTTCGGAACGGTAATTTGATTAATATACATTTTTTTCTGGTAACTTTATCTTCGAAGTCTCGATTATCATTGACTTAATATTATTTTGTACAGATATCAGAATTTTGTTTAGAACTTAATTTCTCAGAATTAATAATTACTTGGTGTGTCCTGGTTCAACTTATATTGAACAGCTGGCTGTAATGTTGTTAAACGGCTTGATTTGACACGATTTGTACAAACGGCTAACTAAATATTTTAGCCAGATAAATATTGCCTAAGACTCGAGATTTCGATAAAAATGTTCAAACCTTTAACCCATCTATCAAAAATATCTTAAGACTTGGGTAATATTTTTCTGGATAAAATATTGAGTTAACCGTTTTCAAAAATCAGCTCAAAACGCGTCGTTTAACAAGACTAGTTGACTGTTTAGCTGGCTATGCCTTGCACTAAACAGCTTAAAAAGTATGAGAAGAACGAAAAAAAATACGAAAAATAACAATGGCACCAAACTCTTCTAAAACAAATCCAAATAGGAGTGTTTCAAAAGCTGTTTGCCCTAAGTATCAAAAATAAGTCTAGCTAGGATACATCTCAAAAGTTAAGGAATTTATATTAAATTTTACAGACATTTTTCTTAAAATCAAAGATGATTTTGCAAATTAAATTTTTTATTTTCTCAGTTTATTGAATTTCTCGGAAGAAATACCAAATCGTTCATAAATTCTTTGTATTAAAGTTAATCAAATGAATTGAATTTTATTAATTTAGGGTCTAGATCATGGGTGGGGGTACAATTTTTTAACATATGACATGGGTATCTAAAGAAAGTTAATATAATTGATACTCTTCATTATGTCATCAGGGTAGATGTGGGGGAGGTAAATTCTTAAACATAATATCTTGCCAAGGCTATCAAATGAAAGCTAATAAAGGATAAATTGATATTCATCGATGGATTTGATGCTAATCACTCTATGTCTTCAGGGGTGAGTGCGATGGGGTTAAAAAGTTTCCACATTTCGAAAAATATTAATCGATTATTTTGATACTATTCTCATTCCAATTGCGTCTCATTTTCCTCTTCCGGGACCGCCATATTTCGGTTAAAAATTAATTTTAAGTACTTCAAAAGTTTATGTCAAAATTGTCTAATATTTAGGGGAATGTGCACTCTATACATGTTGAAATAAGATTCTAATGGGTTCTTTCTAAAAAAAATTCTCGCTATTATTTATCAATTATTTTAAAAAATGATTTGCCAATCCCTGATTTGCTTAACCCCTACGCAATATATATACTTTTGCCTCGTTAGGTCAAACTGATAACTCGAAAACGGTATATTTTTTTGGGCTGTTATTTTCAATTAATAATTTATTTCAGAATTGGATTTGAGAACCAACAAAAATGCTCATACACTTGTGGGGTAGTTGTCATAATAAAAAGTATTTCATATTTTAAAAAATACATTAGACTGTGTCCCGGATTGGCTTAATTTGGATAATTAATTACTTTTATTATAAGCTAAAAAATGAACCAGGACACCCTATTTTAATTTGTTTTAAGTATTTGGTGGCATTGTTATTCTTCGTATTTTATTCTCGTTTTTTGGTTGTTTTTTTGTTTTTTTAAAAAAAAATTCTTTTGCTTTTTTTGGCTATTTTGTCGAATTATTAGTATCAATGTTAGTTTCGTTTTTTACTTGAGAATAATCATACAAGGACATTGCTTATGATGAAATATGTTCAAACTATTTTATATGATTATGAAGTATGAAATTTTATTTTAAAATAATATTTTATATTTAGAGGAAATTAGAGTCTATATTATTTTGGGGGGACACTGAGGATGTTGCTATCGTTTTTTCGGATGATTCCAAAAGGCCATCAAAATGCAGTGATGTATATATTACAAATTATTTTATTTAGCGAATTAAAATTTCCTTATTTTTTTTCCTACATTTTATTTATTTCGATCAAATATTTGATTTTTAATTTATTTTAAAAGAAAATAGAGCTCTAAAGCCGTGTCTTTCTTTCGTCTTATTTCTAAACAGGAACCTGTTTAGGCATTTATATAGCTCCCTTTAAACAGAATTAAAAGAAAGAGGCTATTTTGATATTGTAACACGCTTGTCCTAGTTCAAAATCTGAATTAAAAATAAGTTCAAACGAAGACACGTCCCGAATAATTTTTTTATAGGAATGAGTGATCATTTATTGTTCTTATTTACCTATTTCCTAATCCTGACTTCTATTTGGAATACCATTATTTTAAGCTCGCTTCCCTTACATTGAGCTAAAGGGCGAGATTATATATTAGATATTTGCAACAATCAAAAATCTTAGAGCTTTTGTGTATAAAAGGCTTCTTTTATTGTTTTTTTGGGTACTAAAGAAATACGGTATAATATTGTTACTTAACAAATTCGGCAGTAGCGATTAACGTATTTTTTAAACACAACAAAAATCATTCACCCATTTGTTTTTATTTAAAATACATTATTTGAAATAAAACGCAAACGTAGGAAGTTGAAAGTACTTAATGACGTCTAACACCCTAGACTAATGCGTATTAATACAAATCAGCTGGCAACAAGCCATTTTGGTTTCATTTTATATAAATAAGGGAAACTAACATGGCGTTCCGCTCGTTTATATTCAATAACTCTTCAACTGTCTAGATGAGTTCTATACGCCATTCAAAACACTGTATAGTTGTTTATAAATATGGAGAAAAAAAATGTTATTTTATAAAATATAATTTTATACGACTATATTAAAATTAATATCTATACTTATGATTGAAAAAATAAAACAGGCCTACGCGTTTAACGGAGATTATTACCAATATCGTGATAATAATTTAAGCAGCTACCCATGTATGTTTAACAGATCAAAATTTTTGTCCAGTGGTGGAGACAAGAAAGAATTTTCCAAGTTTAATTTCTTAGATAACATATTATATATTATATTATAGTTATAGCAGATACCTAGGTTCAAAAATTAATCCCAGAATGGGCCAAAAAAGTGTTGTGATTTTAAAAATCTGAGCTAAATTGTATAAAATTAATCATTTGGAAAATTTTATACTGGTCCATTACTGCTCATTACATTAAAATTTCCACTTGGATCAATTAACAAAATACGTTAAAAATTTCAAAATCACAATTTTTTTAAAAAATTTCTGGGTCAAATCATGCAATTATTACCAATCTCGTTGATAAAAATAATTTTTTTAAAAAAAAATTCAGGACTTATCGGTTTTTACTATAATTGATATATTTAATCCACATTTTCTTAATTCGAAAACTAAATGTTACTTGATTATTATAAAGTTTCAACTCCACTTAGTTGAATTTCACAGGAGAGGAATTTTTAAATGCGTCTGAGGATATTTTCATAAAAAAAATATAAAATAATATTTTAAATGAAACAGTTATAAATAAAAAGAATTCACATATAGGAAAGAAGCACGTGATATAACTTAAAATAATAGTATTATTTTCGTCTCTGAGTTTTTAATGGAAGATTAATTTAAAAAATATAGTTTTTTATATAAAAATCATAAATCTTTTTCAAAATATTATTGATTTAGTAATCTATCGAAATTATAATTCCCCACTCCCTCCCTGTCATTTAAAAAAAATTAAAATAAGATACATGCAATCAAACTTATATTACTTTGAAAAGTATATTTTAAAATTTTAATGGGTAACTGATTAATCGCTCCACTCGGGTGAACTAACGGTTTTCTTAGTTTCGTTCGGAATAATAAAAAAATTTCTGCTCATGTCACTACGAAAATTTGATTCGCGAGTTGATTTAGTTTTCTGAATTTAATGCTTCATATATTCGCGACAATTAATTTGACTTCCTTTTTTTTAAATAAAAATTCAAAAAAGGGTTCTGAATGTTGAAATTGGGAAAATTGAGGAGAAAATGAAAAGTCTGCACACGGAAAAAGGGCAAATTAATATAAATGTTCAAAATTTTCGGGGCATGAAGAGCAAAATAGACAAAGCAATTGACTCGTTGAAAAGGGATATTGCCATTTTAGAAAAAGTAATAATATATAAATATATCTTAATTAATAATCAATACTGCCAATATTAAACTTTTTTTATATGCATTTAATAGAAATGTACTTATTAAATCTTTTTCCATATACATACAATAGAAATTTACTCATAAAGAATTTTAGAGGTCTAATTCTATTTGTCTGATCCCTGACACCAGCCGATGCGATTTTTAATGAATATTATTATGGGCAAAAAAAATGCTTAGGGAATAAAATAAACCTTAAATATATCAATAAAATTAATACAAGAAAAATAAATCAACTATTTAAATTTAAAAAAAAGAAATAATAATACATTTGTTTTTTTTTAAAATATTCATGATTCAATATTAACATTTTATCATAAATTATTTTTTTATAAGCCATTTTGGTATAATGGATCGATTGTCAACCGATATTTTAAAAAATACAAATGACTTGGCTGATCCGATATTATAAATATCGGTAGATAGAATCTTTGCTGGACACGTGGCAAAATAAAAGTAGGCCCTTGAAGGTATCCAAAGTTTCACCGAATTTTTGGAGGGCTCTTAAGATTTCAATTGGCATATCATCTTTCACATCTGTCTTAATTTATTAATTTTGAATCACTTTAATGATTTATCAAAATTGTTCTCATTTTGAACTTTTTAATAATTCATTCATTTTTTAAGAAAAACAAAGCAGTGACAGATCAATTGAACAAGAGTCTCGGTCCCGATCCTCTGGACGAGCAATCCGTGAATACCCTGGGTCCACAAGAACTAGAATCTCTCAACACCGAAATAGACAACTGTGATGTGGCTTTAAAAAACTCGATAGGGCAGAGAGACGAAATTACGGCTGAATTAAGGGAATCTGTCGCTAAATATAGGCAATATACAACAGACATAGATAACCTATTGAAAAAGGCCGGAGAAATTAGGGTCGAGATTCAGAATATTCAGGTTTGTTTTGGCATTTTTTCAATTTGTTTTTGTTTATTATGTGTAATAAATAGTGGTTATTTAGCCTGACTTAATGGATTTTTAGATACGTCTTACTTAAGATTTTAGATAAACAATATTATGTAAGCTTGATGATTTTAGTCATAGGTGGCACAGATAGGCTTGTCATATATATTTATTTTGGCTAAAATTTTGGCCATTTAAAAACAATAGTATAAAGTATCATATCAAGTTGGTGGAAATGTTTCTAAGCCTAAGTTTATCAATTTCAATTTTTAATTTATCATTCGAGTTTAAAAAATTATCAAAGTTGACTTGGAAAATATCTAGAATTTGAAGCCTTTTGGCATCATTCATTATTTTAGCAATATTTGGATTTTCATTGATGATATCTACTGAGCTTATTAATTTAAAAAAATAAATAATTTTAACAGAAACGTGTTAACTTATATATCATCTTTTGAAAAAAATATATTTTTTTAAATCGTAATATCTAAAAACCTATAGCTGTCTCAAGTTAAATTTTTTTTTGCAAATAGATAGAATGTAAGTGAATAATAAAATATTAAATTCAAAGAAATTCAGAAATCGAAAGCTTTCAGGTTCAATAACAATAAAAACCATAAAATTATTATTTTATATAAATCCTTAATATTTACTGAAATATCTATAATATAGTTACAAGATGTACATAATTTTTATTTTTAGCATCATTATTTTTTAACTTACCTCAATTTTAAAAAATCTCATTTTTCGAAAAATGTCATCTTTGGCACGTTTGGCCATTAATATCTCGAGAACTATTAGTTCTACAAAGCTAAAATGTTGGATTTAATGCTTTCTAATGATCTTCTCTCAATATGCAAAGTTTTATCAAAACTAGAAAGGTATGGTTGAAAAGTTATCGATTTGTTATAGAATTGCCCAAGAAAGAAAGAAATATATAATTATATAAACAATCATAAGATAAAAGCAAGATGATATGGGATCGGTTTTTCAAATATCCGTCCGTGCCGGATTTTTTTAAAAACAGTATATATATTTCGGATCCTATCCCTAATTATTACATATTTAAAATTTTTTTGTGTGTGTTAAGAAAAACGTGTCTAGTGCCCAGGAAAAGAAACGATTATTTTTGCAAGAAATCCAAAAATTGAATACCTCCATAACAGAGAAGGAAGATATCATTTCTTCGCACGAAGCAAATTTACGCCAAAAAGACACGATATTTAAAGTTTAATGTTCATTTTTATTGAAAATTTAGTAAAATATATGTTTTTATATGACATTTATATATTAATATGCAAGCTCGTTAACCACGAAGTAGGCCATTTGAGAATCTCCGCTCTAAATAAATTTCAGCCTTACCTCCCAAGAAAATTTAAAAAAATAATAATTTTTTCATTATTTTTATTGATTTGTTAATTAAAAAAAAATTCTTTTCTTTTCCTATTATTTAACTGGCAAAAATAAACTGGCTATTTTAATAATTTTACAAAATGAAAATAATTTAAATAGCCCACATCAAGCTTTCGCTCCACATTTTTGTGCAAGGGAAAATAGCATCTTTCCCAGTTTGATAGGTGTTTTTCGTAAAATCTCTCAACACGTCGGTGATATTTTATTAATTATACCCATGCTAAAACCAAAATATCTAAAAATTGGGAATCTCGCTTATATCTCCTATAAAAATTTTTAAAGTAAATTTGAAATTAATATTAATGGATGCTAGATAAGTCATCCATTAATTTTAATCTCAAATTTACCTTAAAAAATTTTCTATGAGATATAGAGATTCCCAATTTTTAGCGATTTAGTACCTATCCCATTTATTTAATATAAACTAACTCCTTGTACCTAAGTTACCTACCTGTTCGAGAAAATTGGTTTTAGCTTTTTTTAAAAATGCCACTAGCTTGGGGAGGGATGAAATGTGATTTTTTTTGCTGAACAAATTATATTTTTACAGTAAAAGGGTATTTGTTGATTTTTATTTTTATTTTTCTTTAATTTTATCTTAAGAATTAAGGTTACATAAATTAGTAAATCGATTCGAATAAATGAATTATTCGTATCGTTTCAAAAATTCAAATCCAATAATTTGTAGCATTCCTATTCGAGATTCAAAAATTTAAATCGATATAATAATTGTATTATTTTTATTGGTACGAATAATAAAGTGATCTGAACCTGAACTATTGATCTTTAATCAATTAAAAAATTGAATATTCATTTATTAACATTTTATAATAAATCATATTTTTAAATCTCCCATATTGATTCGATATTTTAGCAATAACAAAACTGTATATATATTTTTTATAAATGTTATTATTAAAATTTTTTTTATCTATTCACCCTTAAATTTATACACATTAAAACAAAAAGGAAAATTTTTTGCAGACCCATCAAGAATACATAGATTCCGATGATAAAACTAGAGTTCTTAGACGATCTAACGTTAAGAAGTACAAAAACAAGGAAGAAATAATAAAAGACATCTCAGACACAGAACTAGAAATTGGACGCCTAGAAATCGAGTTATTTATGAAATTTATTGATATAATGGATATTGCTTTTTAAACCTTTATAATACTTTTTCTATATTTAATAATTTTTGAAGACAGTTGTCCAAAATATCAAAAATATTCGATTCGGAAATTTGAAAAGAAATAGGCATTTTTTTAATATACAAATAAATACATGTCCAAAATATAATTCTAGAAAATTAAAAATTATCATACGATGTTTTAAAACTTTTCGAATTTTTTTCAAAGTTTTTGGACATATAGCTTAAAAGTAACAAATGAGATTAATTTTTCCGAAAACAAAGTTACTCTCTTTGACGTTACATTACATCACATAATGTTTCTTATATGATTAATATTTATAAAGTTAGACCTTTAGAATGAATGAACTTTTCTTAATGCCAGTTAGTATTTTTCGATTACAAGCATAACATTATTTAGCTGGAGCTGTAAAATCGTTAAAATTAAAAGATAAGATTATATGTAAATGTATTTCGTGATTGAATAAATAAATTATTTTCGCCCCTCACCCCTTTGAATAATATGTTACCATAATTTTATGATTTGAACAGAGCTGACAGATTAAAATATATATTAAACAAATATATATAATTTAGAATCAGTAGCCAAAATTACGATGAATGTAAACTAAATCACGAAAACAAAAAAATAATTCTTTCCCAATACGAAACCAAATTCGAAAATTTCCTAAAACTATCCGAAGTAATTAAATTTTTTATTTGAATAAATAAATACAACCACTGATCCCATTACAGAGGAATAATTTTTTTTGATAACTATATAAAAACACTTTTTTTTATTTGCTTACTGAGACTAAAAGTTTAGAGTCGCTGGCCCGAGCCTGGTTCTAATCATTAAAATATAGCCCATGGCTCGAACACATTTTAATATTATATTTCCTTCCTATTATTCCTTTTTTTACCTGATTGAATATAATAAATTATAAATATTATAATAAATGTTTTTTTTAAAAAAATCAGAAAATGGGAATTATTTCTTAATCCATTTTCATATTTATAAATAAAATCAGAGTTTCCTTACCACCTCAAAATAAAAAATCTAGATAAAAAAATGCAGATTTTTTGGGAATGAAGCAGTGGTTTTGATCAAATTTTTCCCAAAATTCCAAATCTAATTTGTGATTTATACGAATTAAAAATCTTTCATGTTTAAAACCACAAATTATTTTTGAAAGAAATATTTAATTTTGTTGATTTATTGCTCATAATATTTGTTATACCCTGAATAAAATAGATAAAAATCATTAAAATGATCAGTTTTGTTAAATATTTAGATTTAATACCAATTATTAAAATAGAGAGTGAAAAATGATGTTTTGGAAATGAGATGAGAATCTTTTCTACTTAATTTTATTTTTAAAAAATTTGGCCACTGACTAAAACCTTTACTTTTGCCACTAAGCTTCAGGCATTTTTAAATAAAAAAATTTTTTTAATTTGCGCAGGCCTCTAGAAACAGTAAAAGATTTTATGCATATAGACTTGAATTAAGGCAGAGGTGCACTGATCCCAGGACCAATACTTTACACATTTAAAGGAACCTAGAGCTGAAATCAGAATTTACTGTTAAAATCATTTTATATATATATGAAAAAGCAACTCAAAATTATATTAAAAAGGTTTTTTTTAAATAATTTATTTTATAAATTTCTTAATATATAATTATTTCCTCCAGCTGATTAATTTGAACTAAAATATAAATTATTAAATAATGATCGAAAAAAATTTAATTATTGGTTCATTTTATTTATATATGTTAGCGTCAATGTGTTTTTCCACTGTAATATATTGTTATTTTTTCAACTTTAAATAATTTTTTAAGCACATTTTTTTTAAAAATAAAAATATGATTTTAGGAAATTTATTCATCATGTTTAGAATAACCGTATTTGAATTGTAAACAACTTTGTCTTTAACTTTGAGTCATTAATAATTTTAATTTATATAAAAAAATCTAAGGAAAAATTAATATAAATTATAAGTTCAAAATTTCATGGCATAATTCTCTGAAATTTATAGGTTCCAAGCATGATGGAGTCAACTCTGCCACTAAATTAGTTTACCCTAAGAGTGTTAACATTACCTTTTTCGCAATATTTTTTAAAGCCTTTTTATTTTTATAAAATGCAGACCAGGCTAATTACAAATTTTATAAACATACACTAATTAAGATCACTTCATAAATTAAAATATAATGTAGTAAATTTTATTTTCATTAATATCCTGTTTTACTAGTTATTAGTTTATTACCATATGACCTAAGAATCTTCAAAAATTTAAAGTTTTAAAATTATTGAATGCAAAAACTCAAATTATATCTGCGTAAATTCAAGAAAAAATCAATTTCCGGTAAAATCAGATTTTTAAATTTAAAAAAAGCCCCCAAAAAGAATGATTTAAAATTGAAAAATAAATGACGCATTGCCGAACATATTAACGCTAAATTGACAATCGATAATCTAAATATATGTTTAAAAAAAATTGTCCTTGACTCGATTAATATTTACAGAAAATACAAATCGAATTGCGTAAACACGTAAAAGGCTTCGACATTTTCAAGGCTCGTCTTAATTCGCGAATTAGCGGCTTTTTTGTCCAAAATATGGCGCTTAGAAATTTTAAGGCTCGTATTAATATCGACACCAAAGCCAAAGAAATCATAATTCACGTATAAAAAAATTATATCTTTTTAAAAAATTTTGTGTTATTTTTTTATTTTTTCTCTTTTATACCATATTATTTTTGACAATATTTTTTTTAAAAAAATCATCCCATATGAATTCAATGTAAATTTTAAGAAATATATCCAACTCAATGATTATAATTTATTTTTCTAAAGAGCGCGGTAACTTAACAGAATTTGAAAAGGAGCAAAAATTTTTGAATATTTTTAAAAGAGATATTTTTGTTCATATTTTACCTTAAAAATGCCAAACTCTTTTATAAATAAATCTTTTGCAATTTATCAACATAAATTCACAAATTTTAAAAAAATGAAAAATTTTTTAAATATTTTTTTTTAAACTTTGCTTCTAAGACATTTTGGTTATATGACATAAAAGTAATATTTTTTGAATTTTATTATAAAAAAATACGCGGTTTATCACGTGATCATATTTTTTGAAATTTTATTTCAATTTTTTCCTTTGAAATAAATTGCGCTTCCCAATCAAAGTTTTTTACGAATTTTTTGTGTGATAATTTTTTTATAAATTTATAATAGGTAAAACCTGATAAAACGGAAGAATACTGTAAAGATTTAAAAGCCTTATCTGGAGGCGAACGATCATACACCTCTATTTGTTTCCTTTTGGCGTTGTGGAACTGTTTGAAAACACCGTTCATATGTATAGATGAATTTGACGTATTTATGGTATTTTGTATTTTCCATATATTTTTTAATAAATAAAAAAATTAGCTTCTTTTTAACAAAGATAAAAAAACAACTGATTTTTTTTAACGAAGAAAATGTAATAGATAAAAATATTGTATAAGAAATTTATGAGGAAACCAGCCATAATGGTTAGGTTAAAGATATTGTCGTTTAACTAATATAAAATTTCAAGTTTAAACTTATCGTCAAGCAAGCTTACAAGACATTTTAAAAAAAATCTTATTTGAATCTGGGAACCTTTATGATATTAATTTTCGGTTCTAATTTATTTAAAATTCGAAATTTACATTTTTTTAAAAAATTTCCATGATTAAAATATTAACATTATATCATAAATAATATTTTATCAGCTATTTTGCATTGCTGTAAACGTTACTTTTCGAAAAAGGGAACAGTAATTTGTTTATTACTTTCCGGGACAAAAAAGGCCTTACGATTCTTAAAAAATAAAATAATTTAGTCGATTTTAATTTTTTTTCGTTAAAAATATTTAAAATATTTTTACAATCCACAAATTTAACTAATTAATATTCATAAAATTTGTATTTTATACATTTTATATTAATGATTATAATTTTTTCATTAATTATATATATTTATATCTGAATTAATATAAGATCTACCTACCCTATATTATAATCTTTTGATTTGATCAGAACTCAGCTAAAATTAATATTTAAGGTAATTTTCTTCATGTACTTATGCCATAATTTTGCTTTCAAGTTCTTCCATATTTTAAGAAGTAACGAGTAATTCCAAATAAATTTCACATGAAGTTACTTCTTCATACAAGATGATGACATTACTTAATCAACACTTCTATTTTAATATGTATGATCGGACAGTAGATATGAGCAGATAACCGATATTCTTAAAAATGAGGATTATCTGGCCAATACGATATAAAATCAGTTAATTTTTAAAAAAAATTCTTTAACAATATAAGTTAAATTGAATTATAACATATATATCATGAGTAAAAATATAATTCTATAATTTTAATTAATATTATTATTTTTTGACATACATATTTTTTTACTATTTTTTAATTTACAGATAGTTAATATCTTATATTTTTTTTTCTATTTTATTTATTCCTGATCACTTGGTTATTATATAGAATAGTATGTGGCTTTGAATCAAAATGATTATTATTTTTTAAAATTACTTAGGTTTCCAATTAACAATAAAGTTCTTCTAAGTAAGGACCCAATATTTAAAAGAAAATTTTTTAAACAGTATATGCTAGATCAGGGATTAGAATCTCTTAGTCATTTTCATGTATTAATCAAACTCATAGTTCTTAGATTTAAAAACATATTTCATCATTTTACGAAAGAAGAAAGCTTGTAAATTAATTTAAAATTTAATATTTTTAAGGCCAATAATTTTTTTTTTATCTCTTTTTTTAAAAAAATATTTTTATTTGTTAGGATCTAGTAAACAGAGAAATAGGCAAGGAATTGATAATCGCCAACGCTAAGGCAACAAATAGTTCTCAAATGATTATACTAACTCCGCTTGACATTGGGTTAAGACTTTTTTTAAAAAAAAAATTCTAATTTTATTAGGGAAATAGACTAATTTCCTATACCTTATCCATTTTCAAAGACATAATGTCCCCTCTATCCTAATTAGATGGCGAAAAGATATTGTTTTTTAAAGTTACTATGATAAACTAACAATAAAAGGCAAATTTCTATTGTTTTTAAAAAATTATATATTTAGCCATTTTTGCATTATTATTTCTTATTTTTACGGAGAGAATTCAATTTATATTATTTTATAAAACATAGTTTTTGTTAAAAAAAATTTTTATATTGTGATAAATATTATTTTTTATCAGAAATGTTGAAATCACAACCGATATATCAGTTTGGCGATTGAATCCTCCAGAAAGAAAATGATATATTTTATTTTTTAAATTTTCAATTACTTGTATTTTATTATATCTATATTATATATACAGAAGAAAATACTTGTACTTCGTTACAGCTCCAAAATACTCTTTTAATAAATAATATATATATATATAAAATTAATTAATATCTTTTAAATTACACTTTTTAAAATCAAATATTTAGTTTTAAAATGTTTTTCTTGATTAAAATTTTATTTTACTTAAAATTACCTGGAAAAGAAATTATCAAGAAAATGATAATAAATCTTTTACTACTGCTTTGGGCTGGGAACCAATATTATAATCCCAAGATTAACATAATTTAATTATATTTTTAAATATATTTATGGAAATAAGCTATGAAGCAATGTTTTAGATAACCGAACCTAGATATTTTTCCTGATTCCTTTTTAATTAATAATTCTGAATGAAAAATATTGATTTAATCAATAATTTTTCACAAATCAATATTAAGCCAATCAAATAAAAAAAATAACAGCATGATTTTCAAACTTTTATTCAACACAAAATATAAGAAAAATGCAAAAATTAGTAATATTATACAAAGAAAGAAATATTTTTGAGATTCTCTATGCTTATCCAACTCTTTAGGCCCAGGCATGCTTGAATAGTAAGTTAACCAGTTATAACATTGCGCCCTCCGAAAACTATTTTTCAGAGCTTGTCAAAGTTGCTGGAATTGCCAGATAATCTTTGGCCATTTTTGATAATATAAGATATATATTTTTGTGTAATTTCCACCATTTAAGGGGATTTGTATCTTTTGAAATATGGGCTTCATTAATATATATTCACTTATTTTAACTTAGCTATTATTATCATGGCTATAATTTTCTTCGACTTGATATATTTTCTCGTAAAAGGTTAATTTTTTTGATATACTTTTTGTTTCATCTTCAGACAAAGTGAAATTATTATATATTTTTTACTGTCTTCTTTTAAATATTTTATCAAAGTTTCTGAGGTATTATTCATTAATAGATGTTTTAACTTTGTAAATGTTCGAATAGACTCAGACATAAAGGAATAATCATTGAGATGGTTTATCAGATGAGGCAATTTCTGTAGAAAAATAAAACGACTCCAGAAATCATCGAAATTTCTATATCATTCCAAGCCAAAACAGTAATATAAGGTTCATTGTTGGAATAAATTGTTTTAACAATGTTTGGAATTTATTTGAAAGTTGTTTAGTATCTATATAAATCTTTTTATTATAAGCTACCATGTATATTATATGAAATAAAATTAGTAAATAAAATATCAAGAATATGATTTATGGAATAGAAGTTTTTATTATACATTGTTTTTATTGTGCATCTAAAAATATAGAAAATAATAAATGTTTATCTAAATATTTAAAAAACTCACACGATACTACAAGAGTGTCTTTAAGTTTATTATAAGTTATCAGTATAATATCAAATATAGAATTAGCGAATTAACAAATAAAATATTAAAAATAAGATGTATTATTGAATTGCAGTTTTTATTATACATTTTATCATTAGAAAATAATTTAAAAATGCTTATATCTATTTATTTAGGTAATATTTTAAAAAAATTGGTCAATTTTCCATAATCATTTTAGGTTTGAGACATTTTAAATAAAATTCCTATCTAATTTTACATCATTAGGCATTAGAAATTTAGTTTTAATATGTTTATAGTATGGTATTGACGTGTATTCAATGTTATATTATCATTAAATTAATTTTTTTTAAAAATTCTTGCTCCATATTGTTATCTTTTTTTTAAAGTAAATTTTCTTACTCCTCGTTACAGTTGATTAGGGCGAATTTATAGTAAACGGATTATATTCAAATTTTGCTCTATTTAACGCTATCGAAATCATAGCTGATACTTCGCAGCGAAAATTTAATAGATAAAGCTAATATCCGGACTTCAAATCGAACTACGAATCATTATAATTTCTGAACTGTAAGCGAATCATTATAAAGAATAAAAAGAGCGAACCGAACTGTTATAAATATTTTTGAACCGGTTCATAACGGTTTTAAAAAAAATTGAAATTCTAATTTTCCTAAGGAGCAATTTAAATTCGTGATTTCTTTAAAAATTAAAATTTTCTTACAATTAAATGGCCATTATCTTCATATCAATTAATACCAAGTTTAATGTTTTTACTTTATATACTCAATTTAATAGAGATTAGGTAAATTACTAGTTAATTAGATAAGAAATAATCTTCATGGTTAAATTAAATAAGGAATTATAAAAATATAAATTAAAACGTTTTTCTCTAAGATTAATAAATATGTTTCTGATAAATTTTTTTTTATAAAAAGCGGGAGAAAAGAACCATTATAAATTCTAAACCGAACCAATATAAATTTTTTCAAAATAACCGAAATGGAACAAAACCTTTATAAAATCTTAAACTTAAAACCAGAGCGAACTGAACCGATATACTTAAATGTTCAAAATCCTGGCTAAAATAGAGATAATTATTTGCATAATATTTCAGAAATATCACATACCTTTTTTTTATCGAATTTGCTTTTATTTTTATAATCGTATTGTAAAATTTTTTATTAACGCAACATGTATTTTTCAAAATTTTATCATAGCATTATCATCAAATGGCTCCATATTTATAAATTATGCCTATTAATTGGCTTGATCTTTTAGATAATGTCGCGTTAAATACCACCGCTTGAACATAATGCCTCTACTATAAATTCGCCCTTAAATCCATTTTAAAATTTAGTGTTCAAAAAAAATTAGAATTTCCCAAATATATAAAAAAAATTGGAAATTATTTACAAACTGACTAAAATTTCAAATACCTGCCAAATTATTTTGAAACTGCTAATTTATTTTAAATATTGCCCAAATCAATAAAAAAAAGAATTTGAAAATTAATTATTAACCATCCAATAATTTTGAATACCTACCAATGTTTTCTTTATACTGTCCATTTTGATTATCTTAACTGCCTATTTCTTATTTTTAAAAAAGTCATAAAAAATATATATATAATTATTTAATTTTGAGTATTTATTTGCCTCGATAATATCTACCTGATTCATTAACATTTTTAACCATTTGCCCTCAGGTCATCATCTGCTGATAACTTAGCTGGCCTTTGAATGTTTGAAATTCGGATCCGTAAGATTACGGCTAATAATTGAATATAATCCCTGCAGGTGCATATCTGCACCTAACTATATATATATATATGACCATGTTTTCCATTAGAATCAACCGAATTTTTGAACATTTTTTATTCTTATTTTGATTTATAATAAAAATTTAAAACTAAAATCTGAATAACGAGGAGGACAGAAAGTTATTGTGGAGTGCATCTACCACACTTTTTTCTTTTCTAAAGTTATGTGTGTAGTTGAATGATATCATCCAATAATCCACTAATTTTAGCCAAAACCAAAATAAAAATCACAAATGGCTTTTTTTCGACACTTATTTTAATAAACCATAAAATTGAACACTTTATTGCAAAAAATTTAATTTTTTAGATATAATTATGATTCCTTTTTTAGGAAAACACGATCATTGTAGATTTTATCTTTTTATATTACTATTTTTATGGATTATAATCATACATTTAGATTTATAAACCCTATATCTACTATTATATATTTTTTTAAAAAAATCCAAAAGTTTGGTCAAGTTCAATCCCGCCCTCTAACGCCAATAATTGTTACTGTTGTCATTTATCATATTTATTATAATAATGATTTATTTGGTTCTAATATAATATAGTATATATTCAAACCCAAAGTAAAACTCGCCCTGCTTATTTATATTACGGCAAACGGTAACTTTGAGAATCGATCTCGAACCGTTATCGTCACTTGTCTAAATTTAATTTTAATTATGCCTTTTGAATAATTTGAGGCAAGATATATTTTTTTGAATTATGCTAATCAATAATTTGCATACCTTTATTAAAGTATAATAGATAGCAACCCAATAGTTCTTAAAGACAAACTTTAAATTTAATATTTTGTTGAACTGTTATTTTCCTTTTAGTATGTGAATATACATATAAGATAAGGTAAGTAGTCAATGAAATAACATTTAGATTATATGTAATTCCTTAATGGTTTTCCACGGATAGCACTTTTAATGCATTAATCTCAACTATAGTATTAATAAGAGATACATGATCTACGCCTGTTCGCTAAATTTTATTTTTGCTTCAGGATTATTTCTAAAATATTTCTCTTATAAACCCGTCTAAACGGTTTTTCCTTATATAAAGTTCTAAATTTCTGGTTTCGCGAGAATAAACGTTATGATAACTTTCAATAAAAGATTACTAGGAAATAATTATGGCTAATTTTACAAATGCCCATTCGGCTTTATAAATTGGATTCATATTTTTAAATTGACAACTCTGTTTTGGGTTGGATTATGCGTTTTGAAATTGGAAAGGAGTTCTAAAACTTCTGAATATAGAAGATAGCTATTCTATTATGATTTACTCCACAAGGATAATTTAAATATAGTTTAAAAAAATTAACCTATTTAAGGTGCTAACTAATCAGGCCGACTCTTGCGAATTAATGATCCTCACGTTTGAAGTTTTGTTATACGACTCCAATTAGGTATAAAAACTCAACCTTTTAACAATATTAACCCTTGATTGTTTGCTACGATGATGACTAAATATTGAAATATTTATAATTAGATATAATATAATGCTTTAATAATGGTTTTATTGACCCTTAACTAAAATCATTAACCGAACTTTATAATAATATCCTTATACGCGAAGTTCCTCCTTATATAAGCCCTATTATTTTTGATGCACGTCTTGTTTCTTTAACCAAACTGGATAGTGGTATTAGACCTATAGTAATAGGGTTATTTTTCGTCGATTAGTCTTCAAGGTTATAGTAAATATGATCCGGTCTAAGGCAGGTTCTTTCCTATTTCCACAGTTAAGTGTTGGAGTTATAGGTGGGTGCGAAGTGGCCTCATGTGTATCGCATATTTTAATAAACACTGAGGCGGCTAAGGTTTTTTGAAAGTTAGACTTCAGAAATGTCTTCAACATCATTCATAGGAGCTCATTTTTACCCTCTTTCTTACAACATTTCCCCAAATATTGGAATTTCCATAATTCCTGCTATGGATTTCCCTCGCTACACATATTCCATGAATTTTCAATATCCTCTGAAAAGGAATTCAGCAAGGTGATCCAGTAGGTCCCTTGCTCTTTATTAAAGATATTCAGGATTTGTTCAAAAATTTAAAGCCTGATTAAATTATATCTTAATGTATCTCTACGATGGCTCTTTTGGCGGATCTTTTCTCAATGTTATGTCGGCCATCGAGTATGTTGATATGGAAGCTTCGAAAATTGATCTTTCCTTAAATATAAAAAAATGTGAAATATCTTCCCTCATCAAGATTTTATCCCTCACCCAGATTTTAAAATGTTTCCGCACGAGAAACTGTCTTTTAAGTTCTCCTATCGGCTTATCAACTTCCTTTTGTCAAAGTTTTTTTGACAATTTGATTCAATCTCTTTTTAATTCGCTAAAGAATCTTTCTCATCTTCCAATACTCAGTTTTTTTTCCTTACTAAAAAATGTTTTTTTCTTACCTAAATTCTTGCACATCTTTAAATTTTTGCCGGCTTTCCAATATATAATTTATAAAGTCACATACATTTTACGACATATACATTTTATTTAGAAAAAGAAAAAACTAAATATTTAATTGATAATATTTATATGGAAAATATCACAATTTATATTTTGATTGTGTATTAGTTATAAAGGAATTCTATTGGGATTATACAATTTATATTAAAGATTAAATATGCTATAAGATAACACATAATATTATGACGATATTGAATAATTGTGAGATTCTGATATATCGATCTTCAAAGTTCTATATTCAAGTTGAGACATCACTTTTATTGAAAGAATATCTAAGAAACAAAAAAACAATTACAATATTTATCTATTTAAATTTACTTTAGCAATTCTTTCAAATGTTTTCCTTTAGATTGGTATATATTAGTTAAGGATTTAAAATTTTCATGATCCTACAATAATGGAAGAATAGGTATATTATATAAAAATTTTATTTATATACTTTTGACTTTTCATCTTTAGAGAAAATTGGCATTATATAGCCCAATGTCAAAAGATTCAAACATATAGTCATGATTAATTTCACAAAACTTTGAGACCCATTCTCCTGACTTTTAACCAAAATTATATCATCATTATTCGGGATAACACCGGAATCTAAACCTTGTTCCATTTGATATGTTCTACGTCTATTCTCATCTCGCCTTCTGTCTTCATCCCTTCTTTTATCATCGCTACGCCTATCATCTCGGCGTGGACTAGATAAGGATACGATGCCACTCTCTTCATTAATGTTTTGGCTTGCTTCTCTACGTCTTTCCTCATCCCGCCTTCTGTCTTCATCTCTTCGTTTATCTTCGTTTCTTCTATCATCTCGTTTGGGGCTAGATAAGGAAACGATATCACTCTCTTCCTTAAACTGTAGACTTGCTTCTCTACGTCTTTCCTCATCCCGCCTTCTGTCTTCATCTCTTCGTTTATCTTCGTTTCTTCTATCATCTCGTTTGGGGCTAGATAGGGATATTATGTCACTCTCTTCGTTAAACTCTAGACTTGCTTCTCTACGTCTTTCCTCATCCCGCCTTCTGTCTTCATCTCTTCGTTTATCTTCGTTTCTTCTATCATCTCGTTTGGGGCTAGATAGGGATATTATGTCACTCTCTTCGTTAAACTCTAGACTTGCTTCTCTACGTCTTTCCTCATCCCGCCTTCTGTCTTCATCTCTTCGTTTATCTTCGTTTCTTCTATCATCTCGTTTGGGGCTAGATAAGGAAACGATATCACTCTCTTCATTAAACTGTAGGCTTGCTTCTCTACGTCTTTCCTCATCCCGCCTTCTGTCTTCATCCCTTCTTTTATCATCGTTACGCCTATCATCTCGGCGTGGGCTAGATAAGGATACGATGCCACTCTCTTCATTAATGTGTTGGCTTGCTTCTCTACGTCTTTCCTCATCCCGCCTTCTGTCTTCATCTCTTCGTTTATCTTCGTTTCTTCTATCATCTCGTTTGGGGCTAGATAAGGAAACGATATCACTCTCTTCATTAAACTGTAGGCTTGCTTCTCTACGTCTTTCCTCATCCCGCCTTCTGTCTTCATCTCTTCGTTTATCATCGTTTCTTCTATCATCTCGTTTGTGGGCTAGATAGGGATATGATGTCACTCTCTTCGTTAAACTCTAGACTTGCTTCTCTACGTCTTTCCTCATCCCGCCTTCTGTCTTCATCTCTTCGTTTATCTTCGTTTCTTCTATCATCTCGTTTGGGGCTAGATAAGGAAACGATATCACTCTCTTCATTAAACTGTAGGCTTGCTTCTCTACGTCTTTCCTCATCCCGCCTTCTGTCTTCATCCCTTCTTTTATCTTCGTTTCTTCTATCATCTCGTTTGGGGCTAGATAAGGAAACGATATCACTCTCTTCATTAAACTGTAGGCTTGCTTCTCTACGTCTTTCCTCATCCCGCCTTCTGTCTTCATCTCTTCGTTTATCTTCGTTTCTTCTATCATCTCGTTTGGGGCTAGATAAGGAAACGATATCACTCTCTTCATTAAACTGTAGGCTTGCTTCTCTACGTCTTTCCTCATCCCGCCTTCTGTCTTCATCCCTTCTTTTATCATCGTTACGCCTATCATCTCGGCGTGGGCTAGATAAGGATACGATGCCACTCTCTTCATTAATGTGTTGGCTTGCTTCTCTACGTCTTTCCTCATCCCGCCTTCTGTCTTCATCTCTTCTTTTATCTTCGTTTCTTCTATCATCTCGTTTGGGGCTAGATAAGGAAACGATATCACTCTCTTCATTAAACTGTAGACTTGCTTCTCTACGTCTTTCCTCATCCCGCCTTCTATCTTCATCTCTTCGTTTATCTTCGTTTCTTCTATCATCTCGTTTGGGGCTAGATAAGGAAACGATATCACTCTCTTCATTAAACTGTAGGCTTGCTTCTCTACGTCTTTCCTCATCCCGCCTTCTGTCTTCATCTCTTCGTTTATCATCGTTTCTTCTATCATCTCGGCGTGGACTAGATAAGGATACAATGTCACTATCTTCATTGAATTGTAGGCTTGCTTCTCTACGTCTTTCATCATCTCGCCTTCTATCTTCATCCCTTCGTTTATCATCATTTCTTCTATCATCTCTCCTAGGTTCTGACATAGTAGTCACATCAATCTCATTTTGGTTGTTTTTTTCAAAATAAATATCCGAAACTTTTTTTCTGTTCCCATCTCTTCGTTTATCATCAGTTCTTCTATCCGTACGTCTGGGATTTGGCAAAGTTATAACATGTTTTTTTACATCCTCACTTAAACCTGTATTGTATAGAGGTATTATATCATTTTTAAAACTTACCTCAATCTCTTGCCGTTTATCCTCATCTCGTCTTCTTTCGTCATTTCTTCTATCATCATTTCTTTTGTCTTCTCTTCGGGGATCTGACAGGTATATCATATCCCTTTCTATAGTTTGTTGTCTCCTTCTATTTTTATCTTGTCTCCTTTCATCTCTCCTTCCATCATCCCGCCGTGGACTTGAAAGTGTTATTATAATATCCTCCCTTTCGGATCCCACTCCATATATTTTCCGTGGATCATCTTCTCCACCTTTTCCCTCCTCCCGCTTCCCCTCATCGGTCTTTCGATCATCTTTTTGAGGAGTAGAGAATGCAACCGAGTCCTTATTAGATAACTTTACTATATCGTTACCATTTTCTATTTTTTCCCCAAAAACTTTGTTGATATTCAAAATTGATACCAATAAAATGGTGAAAAAAACGAACAAATTCCGCCGTCGCATATCTAATTCTAGAATAATAGATTATAGGAATTAATATTAAAAATAGACACTTTTATATAAAAAAAAATTATTAAATTATATTGGGTTATTTAATTTAAAAAAACATTTAGCACTTACTTTATTTTGTCACAGAAAATTAATTGTTTTGGCAATTAAATTTTATTTGGGTGTTGAAACTTTATAAATATATTTTGAAATATGAATAATGATGCTATTTTATAAAATAACAGTCCTTTTATAGTTTTTTTTATTAAAATATATAATATAAGTATATCAAGATCCTTATCTACTTTATATAATTATTATTTTTTATATTATATTATTTTGGTATATTTAAAAAGTTTATATTTCTAGAAAATTCCTGAAAAATATTTGGAATTACGTCAACAGATAATAATCTATAATTATTGAAATCGATACTATATTTTCGATGATTGGAAATAAATTTAGTATAAAATTCATATTTTTAATTGGCCAATTTTGTTTAAAAATAAATGTTGCCAAAATAATCCCCTAGGATTAAAATAACGTTAAATTGATAGTATATAGCCAAATTTTTATTAATGAATAGGTCCAGGGCCGTAAAATCTAGAAATATTGAAATATTCGTATTTAAAATTGAATAATTAGCGTATGAATCTAATAATGTATTCGTAATTGGAATAGCGAAATTACTATGCAAATATATTTTTCATTTTATTTCAAAATTAATAATCTAAAGTAAAATACAATCATGAAAGAATAACTAATTGTAATTCCAAAGATTTATTTTTAAAAACTCATAAGGTCCTTCCTAATATTTTTTCATTTTCGAAGCATTTTTGTTAATCAATGTTTATAATAATAGGCGCTCAAAATACAAAAGAATGCTATTATTTCCTCTTCCATTGATCGCATAATATAACCTTATGTTTTAACTTAGTTTAATAAAATTTTAAACAGGTAGTCGTAATCACAATAAAAAATAATGCACATATGACTGAAAAATAAAATATTTGTAGCTTTATTTTTTTTAAAAAATTGAATTGCTAATATTTGCAAATTGTTTATAAATTAAACAGATAATTACTAAAATTTTGATTATCAAAAATTTATGAATAATACGAATAATTTAAACTTATTAGTCATCAAATTTTTCAAAAATATTATTCTTATGTTATACCAAAATTTACAATCTAATCGATAAAAAAATCAAATCGAATTTTTTTTAGGAGTGAAGATAAATTTAGCGGCCCAGTAAAAACTCCAAATTAACTTAAGATTTAAAAAAACATAAGTGATTTGTGAATACGAAACTTAGACAAGTCCATGCAACGGGGGAGACAGTAGAACGTCAGTCCATGCCATTTATAGCAAAATTTAATTGCAAACTTTATCGTTAAGATTTATACATAAAGCTTTGAGATTTTAAGAAATTTCGAACCTGATATTTTTCTGACATAATTTAAATAATTATTGCGCATTATAACATTATGAGTAAATTAATGACCAGTACTATTCGACTGCTGGGTTAAAAAGGCAAACGCCTATAACTTTTCATTTTTAGGGTTCAGATTTGATCAAAATCTGTATTTCTAGTAATACTATCTACCATACGGTAGCACTTTATTCAAAACAGAGACCTCCAGAGGTACTATTTGCACGGCCCGGCACTGATTTTTTTAAAAAACATTATATTTAAGTTTAATTTTTATAGCTAATAAAAGCGATTTCAAATATTTAGTTTTAAAATACGGCCCGGTATTTAAAAAAAAATAAAAATACGGCCCGGCCGAGCTGGGCTTAGGGCCATGCCTGCAGGTCTCTGATTCAAATAATATTGATCAAAAACTATTTACAGCCCTTTTCAACAACTTTACTTGTATTTCCTGCCTTGAGGAAATTATAATTCTTCAAAATCTAGCAAATAAATGAGAATTAAATTGCATTGGAAAAAATTATTAAATTTTAAAAATTATAAAATAAATTTTAAAAAATTAAAATTGTGTAATATGGGGCAAAACTTATAACCATAACAAAAACGCGAAGATTGGAAAAAGTATACTTAATATCCCGAATGAGCACATTCAAGTTTTACTAAGAATGATCTATTTTATGTACCCAGATTAATTTTTTAATAAAATATTTATCTTTAGTATCTATCTTACCCAGGGTCGTCAATAAATAAAAAAGCACCACTTTTACCTAACCTTAAATATCACTATTAGTATAAAAGGTAGATAGCCCCAGTTTTTTTGTATTCTAAGGATGTGGCTATCTAACGATACAATTAGTTTTATATGTTGAAATAAAATTAAAATATTATTCATAAAAGAGCAAAACACCTACCATATCCCCTACCTTAAAACCTCTGATGTTAAAAAAACCAAAATAAAAATTAATTTTATATTTAGAGTTGGCCAACTATCACCTCTTGCTGAACCAACGTACACAAAGCCAGGAAACTTTAATCCAAATTTTTTTTTCAAATTAAATTTTCTAAAAAATAACTTTTAAAATATAAACGACTTCGAATAGCTTATAATTTGAGAATTAACAATATGCTTCATTTATTAAAGTTTAATATAAATGAATTTATTGAAGTTTGAAAAATATGGGCCCACCTGCCCCGGTCTCCCCTACCATTGCAAGGGGATTTCACATGTTATTAATATTTAAAAAATATTATTGAGTCCATTGTTAAAATGCAAATATTTGACGGTCTTTCATCTCTATCTAATGATGATCACTCAATTATTCATTGCAATTATTTTAATTTTTCTCATTATTTCTAATATTACACAAACACAAAAACTTGATATGATTAAATTCGTTTTAAATTTATATTTTGGCTCTAAACTAGTATGTTGAAATTTAGTCTGGTAAAAAAATTTTTACATTTACACCTCAAAAATATTTAGAGTGCTTCCTAGCTTTATTTTGACTTTTGTTCTTAACTCTGAATAGAGCAGACTCTTCAGAAAAACAGCTATGGCACAATTTATGTCTATCTTATAATTATTATTATAGATTTTCCCTTAGGGATCATAGGGCACATTTAAATTACGGTTAAAAGATATACATATTTATATTTATTTTTAGTCTAAAAATGATTATATTCAGATAGCTGTCTCTAAAATGATAAGTCGAGCCATGGAGAAGCCTTAATATTTATGATTTCGGTAATTAGCGCAGGTAATTAAAGCCAATATTTCCTCAGTTCTTATTCATGATCTATTATGAGAGTAGGTTATTTTTATTTATTTCTTAATATCAGAAAAACGACATTTTTTTAAAAATAAAACTACTTTATCACATGGAGCACACATAAATTTCAAAAAAAAATCTCAGATCTGGGATCTTTCGGTTTTTTAATTTGCCTCGGTTCCGAAGATTCTTTTGGTTTCCAAACTTTGTTATATAACTATTTTGATTATATACATAAAATCATATTTATTGCGTTTTTATTAAAATCATTTCCAGTTCCTGGAAGATTTAAGTTCCTTCCTATTTGTTCCAATTTTGGACTCTGGTTCAAAGTTTTTAACACTCTTAAATTATAAAAGTTAACTATCACGAGTTTTTGTCTAACAGTTTATTATACCTTTTTTCTTTTTCAAATCAGGGATTAAATAATATATCTAAAAATTTTGGCTTTAAGCCAAATGCATTATAATTATAAATGATTATTCCTACAAATATTTCTGTGATAATTAGGTTTTATTTTGAAAATATCTGAATGAATGAGTTATTTAATTATTAAATATTTTATCATCCTATTGTTTTGATTATTATATAAAACATAATAAAAATATCCTTTTAATTCCTCTCCTTGTTCCGAGTGTATATTAAAATATACTTTTTAAAAAAAAAAATACAAAGTCATTTATGGGGATTATAATATAAAACTCTAATGATCTTATCTCTTTAACGCATCGTTGAATAAGCAATTATCTAAGTAAATCGGTTATTTGCCAATTTATATTATGAGTAATTAGCAAATATATATATATAATATTTAAGTCTTATAAGCCTGATCTAATCATATATAAAAAAATATCGACCATATACCAAATATATATCTGATACATTTAAAACTAATATTATAGTGTAAAATACATTTTGGGGCGGGCTGGTTAGGAATTTCTTTAAATGCTAATTAAGATTTTTCCTCTATGGAAAAAAAAATTGAATAACCGTTTCCGAATAAGGTTGGGAGATATCAGCATTTAACAATTTTAATATTTTATACTGTGATTTGAGGATCAGAATACGAATACTCATTTATTATATTCAAATTTAATGTATTTGTTAATATTAATAATTATCTCCTTAGAAGACATTGGCTAATACAAGTTGACGAGAAGGGGAGGGGCAATTTTCCCAAAAAGCAAAATGCTGGGATTTGCTGTTTAAAATTCTTCCAATACAAACTTTTATAATTATAATTAATTCAAAAGTTATTCCAAAATTTATGAAAAATCAAAAAATAGGTTTTCATTTACACATACTTCATCCAGTACATCTTCAAACAGATTTTTAAAATTTAAAAAACGCGCTCAAAAAATATTAAAAGTTGGAAAAATAATACATTGACAGAAAAAAGGGCAAGTTTTATTCTTTACTTTTACTCTTTAAATATAAATAGAAATATAAATTCAAGTAAATATATAATTAATTCGAAATATAAAAAGACCGGTATAATATATAACATCATAAGAAAAAATTTATGAAGCAAATTTTTTAAAAAAACTTTTTGTTTGGTATGCTTAGATTTTTCTAAATTTTTATTTCCATCACTTGGTCTTTTCATTCTTCTTCTAGATATGAATTTATTTTGCTTGTTTCTACAAAACTTAAGGTCAACATTTGTAAATTATTAAATCTTTCCATGGACAGAGCTTCTTAGATTCCATGTATTCTTCAAATATTGATTTGTTTGAAGTTAATCAATATATTCATTTTAATATAGCAATAAATTTACATATAAATGCACACACGCGCGCGCATTAGGTTATATATCAAGATTTAATCTTTACCATTTATTAATTTTACAATGTTAAAAATTTATAAAAATCATATGATAGCGTCTATGTCCATCTTCTCAGAGGCTTCCGAATTTTGATAAGAGGATGTTTCTTGATTGCGTGTCAATGTTTCTTTATCAATTTTACGCATTACTTCACCGTTTTTATAATTATTTAATTTTACGAGATTATTACTTATTTTTCTTATTTCATTAGTTAAGCTTAAATTATTATCATATTTGACCTTGTTGGGTAGCATATCGGCTTTAGCCTTCTCGTTAGCCGCTTTAATTATGGCAGCGACGGAAGACTCTTTCGTTCTAACATTGATTATGTCCTTTATTTGATTCGATAATGAGATTTTAGGGTCTTGATTTAAAAATAAAGTGTCTTTTCTAATTTCTCTTTTAGCGTTTATGCAATCGCTTGCCTTATAAGAAACCCTCGGAATTTTTAGCTTAGGAAAATAGAAGGAATTTTTTAAGGAATTATCTTTAATGACATAATGTTGTTTGAGGGATGTGGAAACGGCAGTTAGTAGATTATTCGTAGTTTTGCCATTATCATAATTACTTTTATTATTTACATCATTATTATTATTATCATCATTATCATTACTATCATCATTATCATTATTATCATCATTACTATTTTCAAGATTATTATTAATATAATTGTTAGGCAAGCCATTTTCTATCCCTGCAGGTAGATTCTTCATAACATCTATATTTCCTATTTGATAATAATTATTATTATTATAAGACTCGTAAATTCTGGGTGATTTTGAACCATTATTATGAGGTGGAGTAGTTATCTGTGAATATATGAGGTTGTTACTTTGTTCGTTGGGAGATCTTTTATCTTTCGGAGTACTATATTGAGGAACAGTTGGGGCAGGATATTTTGGACTGAATTGCTTCATATGCGGATAACTACTTGCGATATTTTGCTGATCGTTAACGCGCGAGTATTTGTTTATGATATCAACGTCGGCATATATTAGATTATTATCTTCACCGGATTGCTGATAGAGGTATATTATTTTAATATTATATAATAATGAGGATTTGTTAAATAAAGGTTTTTAATTTAATTTCCCCCCATTTTGATAGGTTTTAAATGTTAGTAAAAATTTAAAAAGTCCTTTTTGAGGGTAGTTTATTTGATTATCACAGGGTATCTAAATATAATATTCATTTTTTTTTACTAATGTTGAACTCATCTTGGAATATGGTAGAAAGTTGGAACATAGCAAAGGGGCATCGTTGAGCGAGGTAATACATACAGTGTAATTGTTAGCTAATATACGTTTTTTAAAAAAATAATATATTAAATTGACATCATTAATATATAATAAAATTCCTTAAAAGTGAAGATTGGAGTTAAAAAATAATTTTCCTTACGTCTGATGGACTTTCCGATAAGATGTCCATTTTCCGGATAAGGCATTTTTTCAAAGCTGTTTATAAATTTAAGTATGAAGAATATAAAATATAGAAAAAATTGAATTTAAATAAAAGCTTGGCTTAATCTACAGGTACATGCCAAAGAAAATTCGTTACGCATTTAGACACAGGTTAATTTTACCCTATTCTTATTACGTTGGAGATTATTTCAAAGTTCCGAAGCAGCAATGTTATATACTACTACTATTAGATTGCCGATTCATTAATAAAAATATACATAGATAAGAGTCAGTTGTAGTATCATTTTGTGGGGTACATAGACTAATAGTCTTATCGATCATTATATTAATGCATGTTGATGTCATTTAATTGACGTGCAAACCACACAATGGAGGTAAATTTTTTCATGCATTTAATACATGAATAGCCAATTTAGTAGTATATACAACACATCATTGCCAGGAGGCTAAGGTATCTTCTCGGCTAACGAAAAACTAGAGCAATTGCCCTATACTAGTTATTGTTATTTATTATGTTTTAATATTTATGAAAAATACAATTTCCATATTTTTTTTTACTTGTCTAAATTAGTTTTCCGAATAACTAAATCATTCTTTGAATCCACAAAGGTGTGATCTGATATTTAAAGAAAAAATTTTAAATTATTCATTGATTTTTTTTTAAAAACAAACTTTTCATTAAAAAAAAATAAGAAATAATGCATTACTTAAATAAGGGCTTCCTGGAATTTGGGTATTTTTTTTCTTTTTGTATTTGACCAAAGTAAACGTAACCACGGCAGATATAATTATAGCCATAACCAGTACTACAGATACAATGACTATCCAGGTAATGGTCATTAAAGGAAGTTTAAATTCTTCCCTGCCCCAACCTTTTTTTTTTAAAAAAAGTCAAATTTAGGTACAAAAATTATTCCTAAATCTTAGATTATTTTAATATTACGGTACTGTACTTTTTACTGTAAAAATAAAATATGCATTTATATACATACTTGAGGTCATTTCTTGTGTTCTGATAGTGAGAGTAGGACTGATATTATTGTCTTGGGAGCCATATTGGTTGTATGATATAACCTTAAAGTTATAAAGCGTGTTTTCATCTATCAGGGGATGACTGACATTAAACCAAGGTACGTTTGATTCAGATATATTTTTGTAAATTTTTGAATTTCCTCTCTTAGCTTGTAACATGTATCTTGAATAAAATAAAAGTTGATATTACATATAGTCGTCACCACTGCAAGACCTCGTATGTAACATTTTTTTAAAAATACGTTTTTTGTATAAACGGGTTCATCTATAAGCCAGCTTCATCTCTCAAAAAATAGTGTCTCAATAACTAAAAAATACTAGTTTTTTTAAATCAAATAACATTAAAACGAAGAAAAAACAAGGATCAAAACTTCGTAATTTATATTTATTTTTAATGAAAAAATTGTAAAATCAAATTTTTAGCGTTATCAAAACAACTTAACTTGTCAAGAAAACCCCGTAAGTGGCACATCTCATATATGAACATTTTTTTTATTAAAAAGCCATTTGAATGAAGAATTAATTAAAAGTTTTCATTAATAAGTATAAAATAAGAGTTATAGTTTTTTTTGCCTCTCCTAAACAATTTCAAAAATACTATTTACGAGGTCTTGCAGTGGTGACGGAGATATTCTAATTTCCCGATGAAGCTCCTTATATTATTCCATAATGTCTTTCCTTCCCAGTCTCAAACTCCTTATAATATTAAAACTGTTCGCGGTAGTATATAAATTAAGCTTATTTTGAAAAATCGAAGATTATCAAGTTAAGAATAGTTATACCAACGTATTTATTATCTAATGAAACATGGATTATGATAATATATTATAATTAATTCAATTGATTTTTTGGTTCATTTTCAAATTTTAATATACTGGTTAATAAAAGATATTTGAAATACCAAGGCTAGAAAAAAAATTAACCTATCCATTAATAGGAAAAAAACCAACCCTAGAATTACTTCTAATAGATAATAATCAATATAAAATAGGCATTTGTTTTTAATTTTTAAAAAAAAATAACCTTTGAACAGGAAACCCATAATTTGTATTAGGATTATCGCAAGATATCAAAACACTTGAGTTTATTTTACTCGAGGTACAATTTGAAATGGGTAGAGGAGGATCTAATATTTCAAATTTATAATTTAGCTGGGTTATAAAAAAAATGGTAATATTAAACAAACTCTATTCCTATTTCTCAAACCCATAACTCAATACTTTATAATCAAAGCATTACCATTTAAATATCAAAATTTATTTTTAAAATTTTGTTTTAAGATATTTTATTTTGTATAGAAGCGGCAATGTATAAATTTCCTTATTTTTTTGGCAGTGTGTTATAGTGGTGGCAGTGTGAATTGGTTATTTCTGCAATACATAAACATTGCCTGGTTAAATCGGGCTATATTTTCGAGGTTCCAAAATAGTCAAACTTTTCTAATTTATCATCGAATATCCTTTCAGAATATTTAAGGGATGGTTTTCATCAATAAAGATAGCCACAGTAAAAAAAAGAAATACCTTATGATTTTTGGACGGGCATATGTAATAATTTAACATTAACTCTATCGAATGATGATCATGATGTGGTAAATGTCAGAAGAAACATTTATTGCGAAAAATCTAGAAAATTTATTACTCAATCAAATGTTAGAGATAAAATATAATCATTTTATAGGAAGGCTTTGTTAGACAAATATATTTTAACCTAAAATATTAAAATTATTTTATATTCCTATTCATTTTGTTATTTCTATATAATATTATGAAATATCTTTTATTTTGAGATTTTTTGGTAAATTAATTTTGTTATATGTCAATCAATTTATTGCAAATGAATATTTAACCTGTTTTAAAATATTTCATATTATTGCAATTATATGTAATTTTTAAAATAACTTTTTTTATTATCCTTGAAACATGATTTGAGTATTAGGAGTTTGAGATCGGGACAACAATTTTATAAATAAAAGATAAATAGGCAAAACGAGTTTTATTTTTCTAATTCACACCTTAGTTAATAAAAGTATTATCAAAAATAATTTGAGCCAAAATGGGTTTTAATAAAACTACCATATCGATTTCAAATGAATTGTCGAATATAAAATATAAGTCTGACCTGATGGTAAAATGTTTATATAGCAATTCTCATCGCTGATTCCTAAACTGTTTTGCGCCCTACATATGTATGTCCCATACTTGGTAGGTTTGTCGAGATATAAGTGAAACAAATTTTGGGGAGACCTTAAATTTACTAATCTTTGCCCATACGTTAAAGGGAACGAATTTATTTTCAGTTTGGTAAAATTTTCTGCTACCGTTCTAACATAATCATCGTTCAGATAATACAGATGGTAGTTGAGGATTCCAGGTCGACTCAGCATGTCGCATCTAACCTCCAGGGTTGAATTTACTTTAGACAGGTATAATGAGTTGTTTGTCAAACATATGGGTTTATCTGAAAAATATTGTGTCAATTTAAAAGATAATAGGAAACTATTCTACAATATCTCTAATAAAAATAAGAAAATTTAAAATTAGCTATTTTTCTTTGTATAAAATAATTAATTATATAATATCAAGCCTGAATTATTCCTAGAAATTAGAATCTCATCTACCAATCTGTTTTGCCCTGTCCAAATTTTTGCAAAGCAATCTCTACTCGTGTACCAGAAATATTATTTTTGGCTTGGTATAGCCTCTCTTAATTAACATAATATTTTCGCAAACACTGTTTTGAGCGTAATATTATAAATTAAATGGTGAAAGATAAAGCTTAATGTTAAAACAAGTGCAGTTCGATAAACCTTGTGACCGAATATTGACGGTTGGTCTTTAAAAGTTATTTCCAGGTTCGGTTTTAATTTTGTAATTTTTTTTTGATCCGGTTCAGTTTGGACCGAACAGTTATATATTCTCATTTTTTTTATCATTTTTAAATAAATATAAACAATACCAAGAAGCTTCAGATTCAAGTTTTATTCATACTCAAAACTAGTTATACTATTTTTATTATTGATATATTATATATACTCTTACAAAATATTAGTTGCCCATAACGAATGTAAATCTAAGATATAAGTTTAAGGCATTATAAAATAAATATTAAGTTTAAGAGATCCAATATTTAAACATTTCAAAATTTATTTTAACGGAATATGCATCCATTATCTAAAAAAAATTAAAGTCAGTATGGCATCCCCCTCCTTTAAGGGTCTATACAGTTTTATTATTTATGAAAATACTATTGTCTGTAAATTAACTTGTAAATATTGTTGAAAGGGAATAGAAAAAATTAAGCACTTAAGTTCTTTGTAGAGCATGTAACTTAGTAGCTAAGAAGAGAAATAGATTATCAAGCAAAATGAGTGAATACATCATGAGTACTGTGGGTCATGCCTCAAAAATGAAATAACTTTTAGACAAGAACTAATATAATGATATTATTATTCTATAATAAAAAAAATGTTGTGTATCATATTTGTTTATTCTTATATTAGAATATATATAAATTTTTTAATTTAAGAAAAAAATTGGTCCGGAGCACGGTCCGTTTCGGTTTATTTATGTGATCCATGGCCGTATCCACGAGGGAAAAAGGGAAACCCGGGGGGCCAGGTCCCTTCAAAAAATTTTTTGGCCCCCAAACCTAGCCTGGCCTCCAGAAAAAAATCTTAGGCCCCCAAAAATGTCCCCCAGTAATTTTTCTGCCCCCCCCCCCCAATTTTAAAATTTTTTTAGAATTGATTATTTTTATCTTTTTAAAATATATTTTGAATATTTATTCAAAAAACATGTCTAGTTTGTAAATTTCTTTCTATCCTGTTTTATTTTTATTTTACCCAATATTAAATCATCATTCATTCATTTATATTCATGTGTGTTTGTGTATAACATTATATAGGTATCACATTATTATTATTATAATAAATAACGAGTTACTTTGGTTTACAGCGGTTATTTTAAAATTATGAAGAAACATCAATCAGTCATTAATTCTTATTCTAAGTTAAACAAATGTTAAGAAACATCACAACCTCTACAAACTACTAGTAATACTACATCAGAAATTTCTGAAACTGATTCTGCTCAGAGTTAGTATAAATTTCTATTATTATTTTTTGTGAAGAATTATTTGACCATGACTTATATGATATATGAGCAAAAACTAATATCTATAGGGTTGGGCAATACCTATATATTAATATTTCATATGTATAAGATAAGAGATAGAGACATTTATTTTATTATTAATATTATCATTTTAGCATAGTAATTATTACAATAAATATATTCGCTCATATTTCAAGATATGAATGAAGTTGAAGCTAATAATCTAGATCATGATCCACTACTCTCAGATAGAGGAAGATGGTGAATAGTTTAAAACTTAACCCAGATTTTTCTATTTATATATTTTTGATAATATCAATAGGAGTATGTGATTATGGTGATTCATTATTATATTTTGATTTTAATACAAATATTGAAAATGAAGAAGAGGCTCAATCATTTAGAAGCTCAGTCTCTCATTGTCAAGAGGCAACTAATAATTGATTTATAAATATAAAAAATATTATTTTTTTTCTTTAATCTTAAAAAATATAATATTTATGATCTTTTTATTTTACTTGATACTGTTCATCAGAGTTGGGCACTACAGTATAGCAAATACTTGTTAAATACAAGATAGAGAATTTTGTATGTGTTCATTTTCAGCATGCCCTTCCCTTTGCCCATCCTGATGACCTTTATTATGACCCTTTCCCTCCTTACAATTTATTAATTATAATATTTTAGGGTCAAAAAAATCCTCTAATAATTCAAGTTCAATTCAAATCCCAGGTGACCTTGGCCAGAATGAACCAAAGCAAATCAAATTGAACGATTATGTGAAAAAAGATATCCATGGAAGGCAAAGATCATTTCAAAAATCATGGTACAGAGGTTGAGACTGGTTGGGTACAGTGTAAAGCTGACGCTGCTTTTTGTTTTCCATGTAGGAAATACTTGTGTGTCCAAGTGATGAATTTGGACAAAAGAGATTCAGTAATTGGAAAAATGCGTTAGCTGCCAAAAGGGACTGCTAAAACACGAGATCTCAAAAGCTCATTTAAATTCAATTACAATATGGCATGATATACAGAAATAACAACAATGTTGGGAAGTAATATTTAATTTGATCCTATTTCTTAGCATACAGGAGCTACCTTTTCGTGGCACTGGTTCGACACAAATTATAGATGTTGCTAATGATGTAAAAATAATTTATTCTTCTGGATTATTTATAGCAATGTTTTCATACACGATTCAAAAATATCCAGAATTAAATAAGATTATGAAATTTATTCCCAAAAATGCCCAATACACATCACCTCAGATACAAAATGAAGTAATATCTATCATGGCAGATATGGTGCTTGAATATATTTCTGATAAATATAACAAAAGCGAGAGCCTTTTTTTGTCTTAAGGCTGATGAGACAAAAGATGCATCAGGTTGTGAAAACCTGAGCATAATTACTGTTATATTTTTTCTGGAGAAGTCCAAGAAAACTTAATAGGAATTATTAATTTAGAGTGTCTTTCTGCTGAAATCATCATTGATTGCATTTTAAGGCAACTTTAAATATTAATTCAACATATAATAAGCCAGGCATATGATGGTGCAAACGTTATGTCTGGCCGAAATGGAGGAGTGCAAACCCTTCTTCAAAAAAAAATTAATAAAAAAGTTCCTTTTATACATTGTTACAAGTTGCATCTTGTGGTTCAAAATTGGTATTATAATATTGTTATCATTTCTAATTTTTTTAATTTATCCAATGCATTGTATAATTTCTTTAGGCGTTTTAACGTATCCTGTAAATATACAGGCCATACTCTTAAGAGACTTTTAGACCAAAGGTGGACTGGTCATTTGGAAACATCTCGCATCATTTATGAGAATTTTGAGGCCAGAAGTATTATTTTACTTTTCTAATAGAGCTCTTAATTCAGAGGTTTCCACTCATGATTCAGCCGAAGCCTCAGGTCTTTATCTCAATGCATGAATATAAATTACGTTATATTAGCCATTATAATTTATGAGATATTAATAACAATAGATCCACTAAATAAGTATCTACAGTCAATAGGTATACTAATCTAGTGGTTGCTAAAAATTGTATTGATTCTACGATCAATATACTAAAAAATAAAAGAAGTGATAATTCTTTTGATTTGATTATAATTAAAGCTTAAAAACTTTTAGCAAAATTTAATCTCACTCCCCAAAAATCATCAAGGGTACGTAAAACGCTTATAAATTTTCAAGATTTTTTAGTTGATAGCAAATTACGATTTGATTGTGAAAAAGACTTCAATTGGTGTTTTTTAAAAAGGATTTATTATGAAATTATTGATAACTTTGTTGATCGGTTTTTAGACAGATTTACACAAGATAATTATAATCTTCTTTCATGTTTCAATACATTGTCCCTCTTTGACCCTGATTATTTTTTATCAGATAAAATGGCCCTATTAAAATCATTGGTAAACTTAAATATGGAAATACATCATGAAATGAAGATAGCTGTTAGCTTCCGAAGTTAAAGAAAAACATAATTTTGAAAATATTCTACATATGTATAGAATAAATTATCATCATGCATAGTGTTGTTAAATGGCTCGATTTGAGCCGATTTTTCAAAACGGCTAACTCAATATTTAAGCCATAAAAATTATGCCTAAGCCTCGAGATTTCGTTAATATATGTCTAGATCTTTGTTACTTCTATCAGCAAAATCTCCAGGCTTGCGTAATATTATTCTGGATGTAATATTGAATTAGCCGTTTTTAAAAATCGGCTCACATGCATTTAAAGAATTGTATAAATGCTATTCAGCAACCATAATCATTGGGATATCAACGGCTTCTTGTGAGGCCTCGTTCTCTACACTAAAGAGAGTTCTATCGAGCACTAGAGAGTCGATGCAGTATCAACGTAAGCAATATTTAGTATTGATGGCTTATGGAAAAAAAATAACACAAAATTAATCTTTTAATTCATTTTCATTAAAATTTAAAAATAAAAATAGCCGTATTCTATTATAGTAATATTTTGTTTTGTATATGCATATTATAGTATTATTTTGTTTTGTATATTCATATATAGTAGTATTTTGTTATTAAATTTTTAATAAAAATAGAAAAAAATTTCTAAAAAATAGTATCCCCCAAAGTAAGCACTTGGCCCCCCCTATCTGAAAATTCCTGGCTACGGCCCTGATGTGAGCCACAGGTATGGCCTTTAGATGGGGTTCGGTTTATAAAAATCGTCATCAAACTGTAAAAATATATATTTTGTAATTTTACGCCATATTTTAACAATGAGGTCTTTGCTGACTCTCCCATAACGGTTGCTGATTTCACAAGTTACATTGATAAAGGGCTCAGAATTTCTAAAAAAATTATCCGTCCCATATATTTTCAGTAAAGCGCTAACGTTTGTAGTCAAAATATTCCTTTGAGTCAGGGTATTGTTGTAGTTATTTATAAACCACCTTATCGCGGATTTAGGATTACTGTCGGAGTCGCATATCACCTGTTCAGTAATTTTAGCTAATATGCTGGTATTGCCATTAGGACCTTTCTGGGTTAAAAGAATTATCTCGTCTTTACTCAAGTGAACTTCTTGAGGTGGATCTGTTAATAATTATTAATATTTATAATTATGTAATTAAAATAGATGAATTTAAACCGATGTCATTTTTATTTAAATAGAAACGAATTAATTGACAATAAAACATCGAGATATGATTGGTTATTTTATATAAAAGTTCTCTCAAAATTATATCCCTTTCGGTTTAAAGGCCTCCTTAAGCTACGATATTCTTTAATGACTTATAAAAGGATTATTTAACCCAAGCCACTATCCCTTAGAAAAATTCAGGGCTATGCTAAATTATAAAATTAAAATAATATATAGTAAAATGTCTTTTATTGAAGGATACATTCTTTTCAAATTCTATTATTACCTTTTTAATTAATATTTTTTATTATTAGTCGTAATGGGCTTTGAAATTCGTGGGGATGAATCACGATTTTAAATCATTTACCAAGAGTAATTTCTAAATTTTTACGGAAATATATTCCATCATAGATATACCCTATGGAATTTGAGACAACCATTAACTTTTAAGTATTTTTTCAAATTTATATGCATAAAATTTATATAAAAAACAAAATGCGTAGTTTCTAAAGGTTATGGCACAGGTTTTTAAAAAAATTGTATACTCCATACATGCTAAAATGCAACTCCTGTCAAGTTAGTTCTTCAATATTTTAAAAATCGCGCTCTTAATAAATAATATAAAATCGAGGGATTCTAAAAGCCCATGAATTCCATATCCCCAATACGACCAATTCATTAGGTAATATTATTTTTTCATTAGAAAAATTATATTAATCTATGCTATATATTTAACATGATATCGATAAGGTGATATGGCTAATTAGACGTGGTTCATTATATTTCCTCATAACTTCATTGATCGTTAAACATTGTAATTTAGCTTGATTATACTTAGATTCCATTGTCAAACGTAAGATATTCATGACATCGTAAACACCGGTACTATCTATCGTAGTGTGATATGTTCCTTTGGGATTATAATGTAAATTATTTGTTAAAATTTTTATTATATTTGGTATGATTATTATGTGGCAAATAATTAGTTTTCCGATTTTAACACAGTGAGACTATTTATTTTTCCTAGTTAGTACATAATAATAATTAAAAAGAATATTTAAAGAGAATTATTAAGGTAGGAATGTTTACCGTTTAATATAGTAAAAGATTTTCCTTTTCCAAGTTTCCAAAATATTTTAGGCATTGGGTTGGCCCCTTTTACTTTACAGATGATTTCGACTGTGTCACCAGCCATCAGAAGTTTTTCGATTGGTTCTATAGTTGGCTTTAAAGGTCTGGCTTTTTTTTTGAAATAAGTTTTAAATATATATATTATTTTTATAGTTTCAAAATATGTAATAATGGCAGTCGATTTTACAATTAATTGGAGGTGGTGGGGGGGGGGGGTTAAACTATATACTAGATTTTCATATTTTTACCAAATTTTAACGTTTTAAACTTGCTCCCCAGACCTCTCTCCCTTGGCGTTCTTTCTTCTTTTCTTTTCTTTTCTTTCCTTTCTTTCTTTCTTTCTTTCTTGCTTTTATTTATTTATTTCTTCTTATAAATGGTTAACAATGAATTCCAAATCCCTCAATTTTTATGGGCGGATTTTCAACTCGCCCATCTTCGCTCGCCCATCTTAGCTCGCCCATTCGCCCATTCTACAGATTGATGTTGGCGAGATAAAAGATTTTAAACAATGACGAGTGATTGGTTTAAAAGTATTTTTAAAACAAGGGGCGATGATAGGCGGGTTAATTTAAAATATTTTTTTTTTTACATATTGCATATTTTATAGGTTTAAGTAAATAAATAGAGGAGCCAAACCATTCAATAAGATAATTTTTAAACATTTGAAGGGGGGGGGGCAAAATTTTTAATAAATGCATCTAGTTTTGCCTATGAATTTCAGACAATTGCGCCACAAACTTTTATGTATTTTTTTAAAATTTGAATAAAAAATCTATATAAAATTAAAATTCACCACAAAATTGTTTGAAATTCAAAGGTCAAAAGTACATATTCTAAGTCTACACATCCTAGAATTTATCACCGACAAGAAAAAAATTTATGTTTAAAAAAGTATTCCAGAGCACGTTTAAAACTTACTATATTACATTTATCTTTATTACGATGAATTAATTGTTTTATAGGTAGTTTATAATTTATATTTAATTTTTTTTTAAAAAAGGAAAAAGTAGATTTTGAGTTTTATATTCACTAATAGCAAACCTCGTTAGAATATATATTTGTTTAAAATTATCGTTGTTTTTATTGTTTTAGCATATTCTAATGACACATATTACTTCGTTTGTCTATTTTCACATTCTTTGGTATCGACGTTGTTTTATGTTTATTTATCAAATATTATGGTATTATGCTGATTATTTGGCGTATTTTTTTAAAATAATATTTTTATCAAACGATATGTATATGTAATTATTAATAAAATGTTTCATTTAAAAATAATAACCTATATACCTAAGTGGAAAAAACATTTTGTAATGTCAAAAATGTATCTATTTGGATTAGTAAGGGAGACTGGGGTTAGTCGAACCAATTTTTACAAAATTGGCTATAGCTCTTGTTGTTTTATAGATAATATAAAAAATAATATATGATGGGATACCTAAGACTATACTCTTTAAAGGTGCCTTATAAAAAATCTTAAGAATAAAATTTTTTTTTTAAATTTTATATTTTGTAAAAGTGAAAATTTTGTTCAACAAGCCCCAATAGAGGGGTGAGGCAAACCACTTCAAGGGGTTTCCTAAACCATTAGTTTTTTTAGGCCATAATAAATTGAGATGCATTTTTAATTAATGATATGTATGGAATAATTTTATTGTTTTATTGTTCAAAATATCTTAATACTTAAAAATTGAAACTTAATTTTGGCTAATTTGGTAAACATTTTGGATATAAAAAAAATATGAATTTTAAGGAGAGATTAAGATTTCTTATCATAAATCCTAAATACCAATCATAAACAGCCATGAAATTGCCTTTTCAAGATTTTGAAATTTTTTTCATTATTAATTACCATAATTGACGTGTATTATGGTTTAGCAAAACCCGCTAGCTCTAAATTGATAAATCATGATTGAAATAATATCTAGATTTGATAAATACTCATAAAACTTACCCAAATTATAGATTAATGTTTAAAATTTGTAATAAAAATTAATTTACATATAAATGATTATATATTTTAATAAAAATTAAAACTGATCAAAATTTTATTTCTTAAATAAAATTTTTAGTAATTAATTATTTCAAAATATATTTTATCCATAGATGTATACTAATGAAAACTATATTAGGATAAAATTTTAACCTTCTGGTGTATTTAATTTTAAAATGAGATAAGGTGGTTTGCCAAGCCCCGGGGTTTAGGTTTACCTAACCCCAGTCTCCCCTATTCATTTAAGAATATTATTAACCGTTTATCTCTGATGTTTTATATTTATTTAGATAAGTATTTTAAAATTATATTAATATTAGAGTTATTAAGTTACTTTTGAAAAGTAACTAATTATACATTTAGCCTAATTTATAAAAAATTATTATAAATCATTTTGCAATTTACAAATTCTAATCAAAGGAATAAATGAAAATATAATTATATAAAGAAGTAATTGCACTGAAAAAAATATATGGAACGACAATGTAATATTTATTTGTGTCTCAAAAAAATCACAACATAATATTTATTTTTCAAAAAATGGGCATTAATTTTTTTGAATTTAGCGAACTTCTTTTAAATTTGATGTCTCCTAGGGATGCTAATTTTTCCCCAAAACTAAAAGTACCTAGAAAAACGTTCTACAGAGCACTAGATGTAAGAATATTATTAAATTTAGTAAATTATAATTTTAAAACAATTTAAAAATCTATAAAATATTGAGATTTTAGAAATGTATAAAAAAATTTTAAAACAATTAATTTTTGGTAAACTTTTAAATTTTTTTATTTCGTTTTAATGAGTAAAATTCCGGTTTAAAAAATTCATTTTAAAATAAGATTCAAAAACTTTACTTTAAACTTATTGTCGTAAAATGGCATTCATTAAGTGTTTGAAATGATATATTAAGAGGTAAAATGTTATATATAAATAGTGCAAATATTATTAAACATTTACATAAATTAGCATTACTAAAAATGTTCAATTTGAAGCTTATGATGCTCATATCATTGCTACGATAGACAACGCCATTTTCTGCTTCGCATGTAAAGATTGATGCTAGATTATCTCTACTAACTTTCAATTTTAATACACTCCAAGAAGAACTCGTATTATCTTGAATAAATTTAAGATAGTTTTGTTTGAAATAAAATGTATATAGAGTAATATACGTGCACACTTATAATGCTTGATAATTAAAAGCACCAAAATTATGTATTTTAAAAAAAATGTCAAGACAAACAATAAATTAGATTAAACATACGAAATAAATGAGGCACATTAGCTCTAAACACCAGGGCCCTGGCAATCCAGGATTTTGCTATGGGGGTGGGCACTATTAGGTGAATTTTTTCTCCATAATTTTGTTGGAGATTTTTAGTTCCACTTATTGTAGGCCTTGGCTATATTAGACTTTAAAAATAATGTTGGGTTTTCACTTTTTTTGTTAAAATGCTTTTTTTCTAAAAATTTTAAATAATAATATTTATTTAAAAATATATTAATTTTAACTAATTTTTCTTTCAATTTCTTCCTTATAATAATATTGTCTATTTTTAGGTATGAGGGGTGGGGGGGGGGGGGTAAGGGAATAAAGGAGGGAAATTTTTACTAGCTTAAAATGATATTTACGAAAATAGGGAAATTTGCGATAGGGCTGGGGTAATTTTCCTCTTTCGCCAGCATTGGTTACGTTCCTTACCAGGGAAATCACTAGCCTTTACTCAAGAGGCTTATAACGATTTTTAGCTATCATTATCTAAAATTCCTCATTTTTTAGCTAGCATTATCTAAAATTACCTTTTTTTAGTTAATATTATCTAAAATTATGATTTTTTTAGTTTACATTATCAAATTTATATTTAGTATAAAATATTCAAAATTTTGAGAGGGTTCTTTAAATTCTTCAGAGTTTCCCCCTCCTAGTGAGGCTACTACTGAACAATCTCTAATAATAAATTGATGTATATCTAGTTACATTAATAGGAAAGGTAAAATTTTATTTAGAATGTTTAAGTTTAACATTGATGATTTTAGCTAGAATGTCCTAAAGGATGAGGGCTACCTAACGACGTCATTATCATACATGACATAGCTAATGACTTTATATGATAATCAATTATTTTACAATACGACTCAACAATTTCCTATTAGGCCACGATGTATATACCTTGATACTATATAACGTCAATAAAGAAATTATACTATTTCATAAATAATATTAAGAGGTAATATTTCTTACCGGGATTTATTATATTTCCGGATCTTGCTGTTGACTTCAACAAATTTCCGGATTCCCTCCAATGCAAATGGGCTGAAGGTTTAGCCCTTTCGCAACTACAATTAATATGGACATATTCGTTCTCGTAAAGTATTTCGTTCGAGTAGTTTATGCGTGGTTTGCTTGGTGGAACTTATGCATAAATTGATTCATTTAAAATATATTTATACGTATATAAAACATTATAATGTTTTAGAGAAAGAGTGAAACTTTTCGTACGATAAAATTCTAAAATAATTCTTTTGATAAAATTTTATCGTGTATAATATCCGAAATTCTTATTATTTTCTGAATTTAAAAAAAAAAAGAATTAAAAGAACTTAGAAGCTGTGAAAAAAAAATTGGTCTGAATACTGACATACGATAAAAAAAATTGAGCATATTGTATATGCCAGGGTGAAAATAAGTGGTTTCAAAGAATATCTAACGAATCATTATATTTGTTAAATATGTGACATCATTGTATTTTTAAAATAAATTTGCACTAGAATTTTCTAGAACTCAAAATAAATCTAAATGTTAGATTCAATTAAAATTTTGGAATTGATTTCTAATATCGGCTAAATGTAATGCTAAATATTGTTTGACGGCAAAACTTTATAATGTAAAAAGTATATATTATATATATTAAACCTAGTATTTCCAAATGTATTCTATGTTCTTTATTGGTCAATCTTTGTCTCAACTTGGGTATGCATATATAATTTCCAGCATCGGTTAGTGTTATATTAGTTATTTCGAGATACGGCACATTCCTTTGAAGACTTGTGTGATCAAAAATTATTTTATTGGAATATAATTCATTAGAATTTGGATCAGAAACAAAATGAGCCCTAGTTGCCAATACTCCTGACATTTTATCTGATTTTGCCTTCTTCAAAATATCTAAAATGGGATCTTTATTTTGGTTAATTGCTTCCCTTACTAGCCCTACTGGTACATAAGTAAATACATTGTCCATTTTACCATCAATTAATTTGACGAATCTGACGTATTGGATTAATTCGCTGTTTAGAGTGTAATTCCAATTTTTTCCTGATGATTTTATAGTATAAGGACCATTTACTAAGATAGGACATTGCAATCGAACTGATACACCAATTATCCCGTAAACATTTGTCATGTTATTGCTATTATGTTTTAGCTTATTATTAACGAGGGTTTTATTAATCATAAAATTTTCCGCGGGTAATAATCTTGGCTCAATTACTGTATAAGCGCTGTTATCATAGGCAAGGTTACTCCCTGTCTTATCCACAGAAACATTATAATGAACATCTCGGTTTACCTGTTTGGTATAATTACGATTACTGCTACTGTTTTGTTTCAAAAGATTGATGACTAAAATTTGTGGAGACTTAGATAGATCGTTTGTACCAGAGTTTTCTGATGTATAGCAGTATATGAATAAAATAAATGCATATTAGGAATTTATATATCGTTGTTTTAATTCATTAAGCAACTAATAATTTAATAATAAAAATTCATAATTTGAAAACTCATATTTATCGCTACTCTGAGTGTAACCAATGACGTAATTTTTTTTCCTAATAAAGCCTTGCAACCGTTTAGGTAAAAAAAAAGTAGTAAAATACACAATTTATAACTAACAAGCTAAGAATCGATACTAGTGATTATAAATTAGAATAACACTAAGTATTTAAATTTAGAAATAGATTTATAATAAACGACAGCCTGCTATCTTCTTTAGATGAACAAAAATTATCGTAAAAAGTTTGATAATGCCTTGGTATTTATGTATGATTTTAAAAAAAAAATTTTGGTTAAAAAGAAATTTATTCAAAAGCGAAGCAATTTGTAAGATATAATTATAATTTGTATAAATTTATTTAAATTGCACGTATAATTATGTTAATTTATATATAACATTTATAATATAGACAACACACACTTTTATCATATCTCATAATTTAAAAAAATAAATGCCATTTCAAAAAAAATTAGAGCCAAGGTGAAAATGAATGGCTATAAATCTTTAAACAATCTAAATTCAAGAATTTAAAACACCTTAGATCTTACATTTATAAAAATGGTTTTAGAGAGGGAGAAGAAGATATTTTATATAATCTGTTTGTCCTCTCTAATAAGGTTCTAATGACTAATAGTATATTTTTATTTAAGCTATAACTTGTTACAATATTTATTTCCTCATTTTATTTCCTTTTCTTCCTTTACGACTATTAACAAGCAATCTTAAGAATGATTGAAAGAACTTAATAGCCTGAAATCCCAATGTAACAGGGAGAACATCCTTAAAATTTTAGATATTATTTTGAAACCCAAATTAATAATTTTATATCCGTTTTTAAACCCTCTCACCCTCCATTCCCCTCTCTCACAATCCGTTAAAAATATTTTTTAAATTATAAATATGAATAAAATATTCACATACAAATTTAACAATTTAACTTAGTGAAAATCACGTTCACGAGTAAAGACTTAATTTTTTTGCAAAGTATAACTCAAATAAAGTGTTACATTTTATAGAAGCACTATTTTCGACAAAAGGCATATAGTCAAAAAAAATTTAGATTATATACAACTTCTTTGCTATAAAGGTAATATATATATAAAGTTATAAAATAAATTATTATAAAATCGAATTTGCGATATATTTGGTTAATCTTGAAATGACCACTAATTTTATATGGAATTTTTTCTTTTTAAAACCATAACTCTACAGTGGATCTCTGCAGCCAGAGTCTGACGGTTCGGCGTAAAAACACGTTTATAAAATTGAACCTGGTCCAACTCGGCCTGTAAAATACAATAAAACATCTAAAGACTAGTTCCCAATTTAGTCCTTACCCCCTCCCCCGATTCTTTTTGGTGCCAGGCGTATTGCCTTACAGAAGCTTAACAAAGATATCAGAACAATAGCCATTGGTTAAACCCGTCGCCTTCTCACTAAAATGATTACATCCAGGATTAACATGAGACCTCTCACCTTCTCACCCTATTTCAATTAGGGATATGAGTCATTGGCAGATGTGAGGCGGAAGTACATCTCACACGTCTTAACTTGGAGGGCAATCCTACAATAAAACCCTTATTAAAATTGAATTTGCTAATTCAAGACACCCTCTCCCATAACTCAATCTTGCAATAAGCGACCACATCATTCCCATGCTACACCAAATTATATTCTTGCAACCAATTTCTATTTATTTGCAATTTAACTTCAAAAAATACTCTCAACCGAGGGATTCAACAAGATAATTTACTAGGATCCATTTTATTTTGCCGAATCAATCAGATAATCTAAATCAGTAATTAATACTTACCTTCACTCCAGGTATGGTGCATAAACGAAGGAATTCTTAGTGGACCTCAATGAAAATCAATAAAACCGTAGACATTATCAAGGATATACGATGCACTGTTTGTCTCATTCTCAACCACCCAATATTCTAATTTATGCGAGTAAACCTTTCAGACCAAAATCTCCACAATTTCAAAATAACTTCCAAGGGGAAACTAGTACATCCAAATCTCCCTGTAGGCTGATTCTCTACATACTACCTTCCTCCACTCTTCTCTTGATATCGTCCTAAACTTGGTGACCTTCTTGACTTGCTACCTTCGCATAAATCATTCTTCCTCCTAAAAATTTCTTTAAAATTCCACGCATTTTTTACTTCGCTCAACTCTTTTTTTTAAATATCACATCCCTCTTAGCATTTATGAAAAGAGAATAGGATCTAACTAATAATATTTTAACTAAATTCAATGAAATTGCATCAGTTCAAGATTAATTACCCGCTAAAAGTGGTGGTTTGAGGATTAGATTTCCCACTGATCTTGCTCTCACTGCTTTTATTTCGAGTTCTTATTATCACTATTGGAATCCACCTTAATTGTATGATAACCTTTCCTCAAATCTGCTATGGCGTCAGATATAGGCAGAAATGAACAGTTTACCTTTGCAGATGGGTAACCCAGGCCAAATTCTTAAGCATAACCAATACAATTTCTTGATCCAACGAGCTTTACTATTGACCCATACCTTCAAAACTTGAGCCACCAGGGCTTCTGATGGAAAGTAGCCTGACGGAATCAGTTTGATCCCATGGAAACGGGGCCATTAGATACAATATCCCTACTCAATCAAGCTCCTATTAAGCAAAAGAACAGCTCAAAATTTTCAAATATTCAAAAATCTCAGAAGATTATATTTTTATTTCAATAAAATCACAACCTTCACTATCTTTCCTAAGCTTGCATTATCCTTCTTAAAAGATTTATCACATTTGCAAGCTTAATGGCGATCCTCAAGAAGGCTTCTTCCTAAGACAGAGGTTAGCCATATCTATCCTTTAACCCAATTATATAAGCTTCAATGGCAGTCTTCTCTCAAAAGAACTTTGCTAGACTTACTCATTCTTCTTTATTCTTCTCGTTTTACGTTATTTCTTCTTCTTTTTTTTTAAATTTTGGATTTTTTTTATTTTAATATAAATGATTTATATTTTAACTATTTATTATAAAAAATTGTAAAAATATAAATATGTTTAGTTTTTTTTTTAATTTAAAAAATTTTCAGGGCATGTTTAAATCCTAAAAATAAAATAATTTCTTAATTTTTTTGCCTTCTGATATAGAGCAAACTCATTTAGTTTTAAACCTCAGATTTGTTGCTTTAACTAATGAGGCCTATAAATAATATTAATTTTTGATAAATCTTTTATAAATCCTTTTTAATTTTTGTTTCATCTATCAAGATGAAATCAAAAATTTTTTAAAAAAAATCTTTTCTCAAATTTTGAAGATTTTCTAACTCTCGTTTTTTGATTCAAGAGAGAAGAGAATAATCAATTATCTGTTATTAACTCGCTAACTCATTTTGCATATTTTTTAAAAAAAATTGATCTATACCAATATCGATACAAATACATTTATTTGTATAATACATTTTTAAAAAATCTTAACATTTACTATACAAATCGTTAAATTAACCCTTATTGTTTAGAAAAGGGCGACTTGAAAAATTTGGTTGCTTCCAATGGGTTGATCAAGTTGAAATTATCGATTACAAATAATATTATTTAAAATGAAGAAAGAAACTTTGTTTCTTTTAACAGAATCATATGATAATCTCATAATTATTCAAATTATAAATTTATAAAAATAAAATTTTTGTTTGTTGGAATTTAATTTTTTTTAAAGTAGTTCATTCATTCCCTAATTATCCAACTAATATATTTTTTTTATTTCTATTATTATATAACAGTCTCCTAAAAAATAATTTTTTTAAATTTTTTTAAGCAATTATGGAAGTACAAATAGAAATTTTATGCACAACTAGTGGTGTTAAAGGTCAATATAATTATAAAATAATATATACTATATTACATATCTTTAATAATATTTTTACGTGTCAAAACATTGTTATCATCCTTAATTTGTTATTATCTTTAGCAAGTGGTAGATATATTAAAAAAATGCGGACTACAAGTTACAAACTGGTTTAAAAAAAATGTAATTTAGCTCTAAATATAGGCAACTTTTATAAATTAATCATAGCCCTACACTGACCAATCAGAGCGGATCAACACGCGCCGGTTAAACTCGCAGGGGTCAACTGACCTCTCAAATTCTAATTGGTCAGCTTGGATAGGCAATTTCTTTGCATTTGAATTCGGACCTTGATCTAAAATTTAATTTTGACCGAAATTGACCGTTCTAGGATAAATTTTATATTATATATTTTTCCTTATGTTTTATATGAATAATTTATTCAAGAAATAGACATTAATTATTCTTTCAGCACTTAATTTTTATGATTTAGTTAAAATATTTTACCTTTTTAAAAAGTCCAACAAAATATATTTTGATCGGAAAGGAATTATTTCTAAAATAATTTTTGGATCAGATCTGACTCGGATCATTGAAAAAAAAATTCTCCAGATTTTAATAAAAATCTATAAATATACTTTCTCTTATATTTATTTCTTCAAATTTTAGATAAATTATTAAACACTGCACAAATATCGTTAAAAAATTTATTGTATAATGAAAAATATATTCCTTCAATTATGGAAATTTGTTATATCAAAAAGTTTGAGAAAATACTCTGGAGATGTACCTCGTTTAAGTTACAAATACTTTCATAAAAATGTATTTTTTACATGTTCTAAGCTGCATTTTAAATATATTTCTCAATATCGTTTAAGCCTATAGTTTAAATCTACACAAAATACTCAACCAATATTTATAAAGTCTGCTGAATTTCGAATGATAAATCACGACAATATTTTAGCATAGTTTAAATTGTGACATTTCTAGAAATGTTAATAATAAAAATAAACTTATTATTATTAAAATACTATCAATTTTTACCCACTGTGGGTTCCTAAAATAAGTGG